TCAAAATAATGGTAATTTTGTCATAACTTTTTGTATTCGTGATCCAATTTACCTCAAATTTGGTATGGGGAAACATTTGCAGAAGTTCATTTATGACATAATGACATTTTGTGACGTTACCAACACACATCCGCCATCTTGGATGCTCAAGAAATAGTAAAAATGTGTAAAACTCAAAAAGACAAACAGTACTTTAGGCCCTTATTATCTTTTTGAAAATCAAAGCTATGAACAAAAAAGTCATTTAGACTTATTCTATCTATATTCAACTGAAACTTAACGTTAAAAATATAAGTTATGCATTTATATTGTTTACATAGCAAACATTTTACGACTTGTGTCTGTTTTTACGAAGAAAAAAACTGATAGAAATATGGCGGGTTACAAAGACTCTCTTCATTTCAATATACAAAATTATGCATTTCTAGTGAGATTCAACTAGATTTTTTATACTGTCATGAAAACGTAGCCCGTATACTACATATACCATTATTTTAAGTTCAATTGCATTGTTATGCATGTAATGGGACCAAGTAGTATAATTTGCCCCATTTAGCGTTCTTTTCTGCGAAAATATTTTTTGACGTTCTAAAATTGATTAGGGAACTTTTGATAACATTTTAAAATGATATAAGCGAAACAAATGATAACATATTTGGTATGTCCAGAATGCTCATAGCCCATATTTAATGATTCAGTCGAGTTTAACATCTTTCGAGTAAGTATGACATTTCATTGAACGTGCGTGACATAATGGCATATGTATTATAAGGGCTACGTTTTCATTTATCATTAACGTGTTCATATTTAATTTCATTATTTTACACCAATTTGATACCCTAGTAACACATATAATCTAACGTTCTTGTTAATTCAATGACTAAAATGCATACGACCTGAAAGCCAGTGTGTAAATCTCAAAATAATGTTTACTTTATTTGGATTAAATAACAATTGATGACACCTCAAAGCATCAACAACAGGCGGCCGTTTTAGCATTATTTTCACTGTTTACAACGTAAATGTACATGAGATCGGGACATATGACAGCTGCCATTTGCGTTTTGCACAAATTGAACAAGTTGGTATCTTCCGTGGAGAGTCATTTAAAACTTGATTGATGTCACCAATAGATGACGCAGTGGTCCATTCCTTTTCAACTACCTTCATGATTGCATTTTAAAGAAAATGGGGGTTCCATCTGTACAGGTGGGGATACTCGGATAGGATAATCTTGATATTTTCTTACATTTAGATTTATTTGTAAACACATTTAATTCTAAGTGTCATGAAAACACGGTGTTTAAATATTTGAATCAGTAATAAACTACCATGAAGAAATGGAATGTTTTGTTTTATAATCCCAAGAAACCCAAGACGTCTGGCAAATATATAAGGATTATGTACTGGGAGGTTTTGGATATGGGGTTTATCCAGAGGGAAATATGCATATCTACCTGAGGGACCGTAGGGACCGAAGGTAGATGTGCATATCTCACGAGGGATGAACCCAAAATACCCAATATCCAAACCGACCGTACATAGCTGCTTTATCCTATACCAAGTAGAGTTTTCAGGTAGATGTGCATATATCACGAGGGATGAACCCAAAATACCCAATATCCAAACCGACCGTACATAACTGCTTTATCCTATACCAAGTAGAGTTTTCAGGTGCATATGGCCATTTCAATAGTACAAGGTGTAAAAACAATCAAATCATTCATATGCAAAGTTATTTTATTGCATTTCCACTACTTACCGGAAGCGGGAAGATATGCACTGAAGCGGGAAGATATGCACCGAAGATGGAGATATGGCGGGAGATATGGAGGTTCTGGATATGGATACCTCAAAATCAGGATACGGGATATATCTTACCAACGTATCTCCCTAAAACTCTACTTGGCATAGGATAAATTGATGTATGGAAAACATAAAAAACTTGTCTATTTTAATGCAAACACGGCGTTTTGATGGTCCAAAGGTTGTCCACATAAAAGACGTATTTGGTTTGTCAATAAAAACTTAGATGAGATAACATTATAGGTTTATTGAATGGTTTGAAGTACAATACGGGATATATTCTGCTCTAAGAATTCTGTATTTGCACGAGACGAAGTTGGGCGCCAATAAAGAATATCCAAAGTCCCTAGCACAAGATTTCATTCTGACGTGTGTTTTCATTTACTAGTTGCAATACAGGATTTTTGCTCGAAAAATACTGTATTGGCACGAGATCTGAATTTTATGAAACATTTTCGACAACGGGCTCATCTGCTGGCAAACGAGACGCCATATCCATCGGGATTCAGTAAAAACACAGCTCGGGGCAGTGGCTTGCTCGAACTAAATTCTTATATCAGCATATTGATCACTCGGGGAGATAAATTGCTCTGAGATTTGGCACACAAGGATTTCATTCAATGTGGTATCCTCTGGCAAAGTTTTAATAATCATAGTCTTATATTGATAGAGTTATGGTTGTTTCAAAATATGCTCCAGATGTCGTCAATTTCGCTGAAAACAAATGTGCAATGTTCGAGGAAAACTGTTCATAACACGGAATGCTTTCTTCCCCATGGATATGGCTCAAATTTTTGCAGCCATTGCTTATTGGAGTTCTGCAATTGCGGTAGGGTTATTTCCATACACATTATTCTTTAAATAATTATAACCCCATATACACTGTATAGAGGTCAGGGGCATTGAGATCAAGACTGCGGGATGACCATGGGTTCTCCGTCCTAGGAGAGATCATCTTCTCATAGAAATGACTAGTGAGCCAGGCTTTGCTATCATTAGAAGTTTGAGGAGAAGCTCCATCCTTCTAGAACCAGTGTTCTTGTCCCGGTTCTTGTCTACTGAAGCCTCTATGCCACTCTAGAACTGCCTAGAACTTCCTGGGAACGCAAATATTGCGCTGTGTGTGAACAGTAACAGTGTTGGCATTATCAACCTCAAACCTAAAGGGGCTGATGTTTTCATGTTTGGAAATTGGCAGCCCAAGCTGTGCATTTAACAGAATGAAGGGGCCTTTGAAGCACTTCATCTGGAATTTGTGATCCCAGAACACATTATTTCTTGAGTTTACATGTTCAGAAAGAAGGGAATGCGATTCATCCAAAAACCTAACATTGGAAATGGACGACTTTTTGGGTCACACTGTATATTATTCCATGTATGAATTGCATAGACAAAGAAATTAAGATTATATAATTTTAATAATGATATAAATCTGAATATAAAGAATATTCTGTATAAAATGGTATATTTACAATGGAATATTAACATACTAGTAATCAGAGTAGTCACGAAGTTCGAACGAATAAGAAACTATTAACTCTCAACAGGAACGATCTTATAATTGAACTTACTCTTGATTAAGAATCTCACCAATCTCACTAACTATCTCATTCCCAACATTTAACTCCACTAACATGACAAAAGTTCTCTACCTGAACAATATCAGCCCTACAGTGACATTGAGTAGCTTAAAATAACGAAACGCCCAAAATGCAGGAATCATGGAAATACATTGACCAGAAGATATTCCTTACAAAGCCTGACAGAAATCCACTTGAATATTCAGGACTAAAGTTGGAAAGTATAAAAAATGGGTTTAAACTGAAACAACCTTATCCCTCGAAATGCATCAAGGTTCCGAGATCTCAAAACCACGAGGTTGAGAACTTAAGGAACTGAGACAATGAGATTTCAGTTATAAACTGTAAACAAAAAGTAACTTTAATTATATAATTGAGAAGTTTTAGCTTTGTGGTAACCGATTAAAAAGCGGCTCCCCAGAATCCTGAACAATAGCCCAAGATTCCTTCAGAATAAAACTTACAACTAATTAAATGTAAATGAAAGAACTAAAATGTTCTAAAATATTTGCACTCGATTGAAATGTAATTAAGAATCCCAAGGGTGCTTAAGCTCAAACAACCAGGAATTCACTATACAGTACGTAAATCCCGTGTGGAACCTCGATTACACTCAACCCAAGGCAGATAATAGAGTTTTACAAGCGCAAAACTCTTAACTTGAAATAATAAAAAATGCTGAAAATACCAAAGTAACTTCGCTAAATAATGCGAAGTATTGACAAGGAATTTTGATTTTCAAAGATAAAGTTAAGCAAAGAATTTCTTACGCCATGGTTGCCAGACTGAAATCTACATTATAGTCTTAGTCTTGTTTATAATCCTGAAATGTCCATCCATAATTCTGGTTTTCCAAGTTCATTTTCCAACTCAAGCGCTAAATATGATGTTCTTCCTCTCTAAGGCCCCATGTTCTCTGATCAGCCTCAAATCTACATTCTGTCCTAACACTATTATATTACTTACTTCACAAAATATAACAATCAGCTAGAGCTGACACCATTGGTCAATGCATTAAATACTTATCCCCCTGACTTGACTCTCATTGGCTGAACTTCTTTCTCTGCTTTAAAACACTTTTATGACTGATGGTCCTTGTAAAATCACATTATAAACAAAATAACATTTGAAACAAGTATCTAAAAGATAATGCACAAACTCAATATAAAATGAAATGAATGTACAAATAAAAATACAAAGTATTGATGACAGGATCATTACAGATTCATTCGTTCACCTACTATACTTCACTAAAACCAAAAGATAATACTGGATTCTGTTGGTGCTGCCATCTTTATATCGGCCCAGAACCTATGCTTCTTTCAACCAACAATAGGCTCATTTAAAGATGGCATTACTGAAGTTTACAAATTTGCGCAAAACTTGCGCAAAACATAATAATGTTTCATATAGAAATTATATATAATGTATAACATATAATAAATTGATATAAATTATAAATACGTCAAAACTGACTTATATTCACAATTTTAGAATATTGATCCATATTACTTTACCCTTAGCCTATGTTTAACACAAATGCCAGCTTTCAATGTATAGCATTCCCGGGAAATTATTGATATCGCGCGCACAACTCGGTTTTCCCGCCATATTTTATAGAATGGAGAATCAAGAAAATACTCTTGGGAAGAAAAGACCGAATAGTTCAAAATCCGACGAAGAACAACCGAAATCTAAAGTCCCATGTGATGCTCTTAGGTATTAGCTAATTGTTATATTATCCTTTAATGACTAATTTTTACTAAATGTTGCAAGAATCAACTTTTTTGTTGAAAAAAAAGTTTTTTAAAGTTTCGCAAGGATCCTGCCATGACCGTGGTAGTGTTATCGTGAAAGCCTGGTATAACCGTGACAATGCTACAGTAAAATTTTAAATGTTTGGAACTACTTTGAATTTAAAAAATAAGCAATCAAAGGACCATATTGATACAGTATATGTAAAAATAGAAACATTTTTACATGTCCTAACTTTTGTATATTTTAGTTTGTTTTGTAGTAGACTATAGCAATCGTATCCGTGTCCTCTTATATTTTGATGCTTCTCTGCCATGTTATTTTCGGAAAAATTAACATGGCTGAAACTCCCTAAATTACAAAAGGCCACAGCTTTACTGCATATTGTACATAACTATCTGAAATATACAAAAGTTAGGACAAGTACATACAGTATGTTTCTATTTTTTATATAGTACTGTTGCAATATAGTCATTTGATTGCTTATTTTTTAAATTCAAAGTAGTTCCAAACATTTAAAATTTTACTGTAGACTATATTATATTGCAAGGCCTGTCGTGACCGTGTAATGTTAAAGCCTGATATGACCGTGACATTGATATATTATATTGCAAGGCCTGTCATGACCGTGGTAACGTAAATGCCTGTCATGACTGAGGCAATGGTTGCAGGCCTGTCAACTGTCCCGCAATTTGCGTATTTGTCACGCATTTGCTGATGAATTTGAAGTCACGCCAGTTTTTTTTGCGTGACAGAAAATATCACGCAAATACGCATTTTACCTGGTAATTGTCAAGCAAAAATTTTCTGTAGAAATTTTTTCGAAATATGTTTACGATACGGTAAAAATACAAACGTCGGAAAAAAACCGAACGCAATTTGTTCGGATTTGTCACGCGAATCCCGTATATGTCACGCATGTTCATTGGAAATTTTCGTTATATTAAATTACATTTAGTAGCATGAGAATACTGTTATGAAAAATTTCATTGTTTATCTACCTTAAATATGTAAATCTTGACTACTACTACATGTTCTACTACTTTAACTCATAATTCATTTCAACAAACTTTAATTCTAATCTCATTCAAGAATGTGAACATTGTCACTGTCATATCAGGCTTTGACATTACCACGGTCATGACAGGCCTTACAACATAACCATTGCCACAGTCATATAAGACTTTAACATTACCACGGTCATGATATACAATGTAATATAATATAGCATTGTCACGGTTATACCAGGCTTTCACGATAACAAAACCACAGTCATGGCAGGATCCTTGCGAAACTTAAAAACACTTAATAACATGGCGACGGTTGTGCCAGGCATAAGTCTTGCAATAGATAGCATGTAGTATAATGTGCACTTGTGTCACCTAAATTACAAGAGCTCACAGATTTTTCTCTATTTAAAATTTACAAAAGTTAGGCCATCTATATGTGTTTCTATTTTCCCATATACATTTACCAGTTTACTGTTGCAATTGTGATCATTGATTTGTTATTTTTTGGATGTTGTTTACAAAATTAACAATTTGAGTGAGCTACAGTATCATACATGTCAAACTGGCGGATCTGGGGACCTGGGGGCCCGTGGGGCCCAGGCCCTCTCACCTTGGGTGGGCCCAGAAAAAAAAATTGGGCCTCCGAAAAATTTTAGGCCAAAAAAACCTTAAGGCCCCAAAAGGTGGGCCTTTTTGGTCATTACTGGGCCTTTTAAGGTCTTATTTTTTAATTTCAGGCCAAATTTTGAAGAAAATAGGCCACGAAATTTCAAAATTTGGGCCCACTTTTTGGTTTTAGGGGCCCACAATTTTTTCAGAAGTATTTTTCTCTGACCTGAAATTTGGCCCCCCCCCCTTGTTGGTTCCCAGATCCGCCTTTGTGTCCGAGCTCAACAAGTTAAACCTAGTCTGGCCTTATAATATATTATCTCACATTAGGTGACCTGATTAACAAGTAATCTGGATTGGGTTTACCGTGTTGAACTAACAGTCAATCAGCTTTTTCCCAGCCTATGGTGAACCTCGATAGACTGTTCAGTGATGTCTTTTACTCCCCTATTAAAGTCACAGCGCTCTCAAATCATTTCATATTTGATTGACAATGCAGATGTTCATTCAGAATTCATACTAAAATAATCCTGCATTCATGGAAAGATTACAGGATTACTTCCCTTCTTGCGCTCTACATCAATAATGCTCTAATGTACATAATATGCGATCTACTTTTTCAGAGTTCAAGACCCAAATAAAAAGCGTTTGGATTATCTAGAATGGCCAGAGTATTTCATGGCAATCGCCTTCTTGTCTGCTCAACGTAGCAAGGACCCAGCCTCACAGGTACACCACACAATATGTCCCTCTAACAATTACTACTACATGTACTTCAACAACCTGTTGCACTGGCAGATCCAGAGGTATAGGATCTCCCTAGGATGGGCCCAGAAAAAATTTGTAGGGCATAATTTTTTTGCCTTTTTTTATTTTATACCAAATTATCAATAAATGGGCCCTGAATTTTCAAAAATTGGGCCCAATTTTTGGTTTAGGGGCCCAAAAAAAGAACCGCCCAAGTGGGGGAATTTTTTTTATGACTTGAAAAGTGGGCCCTCATTGTTAGGTTCTGGATCTGCCAGTGTGTTGATGGGTCCAGGGGCTTGAAGACTGCAGACTGATGAGAGTTTAAAAACAACTCAAAAACAAATGTAAAACCTTTCCTTCCAGATATCATTTGTGGAAACCTTTTCATACAAAAATATGTTTTTATGTATCTTTTTCTAGTAGAGTTTGTATGTTATATTCAACTTCTTATATGCCAAGTGGGCCTCTAGGAAGACCAGTTTTGTTAGAGCTACCCAGAACAAATATTCAATCAATCAATCAATCAATCAATCAAGTATTTACAAAAAATCATATTGCTGATATGTTTCATTATGACATCAATTCGTTAAAACCATTTCCCCAAAATAAAATGACATGAAATCTGAATTGTCAGTGAATGCTTCCTTTTTATTACTCTTAATTAGGTTGGAGCCTGTATTGTCAATGAAGAGAATAAAATAGTTGGCATTGGTTACAATGGGATGCCTAATGGCTGTAGTGATGACATATTACCATGGAGACGAACTGCTGATGACAGACTGGACACCAAATATCCTTATGGTAAGGTCATAATTTTGGGTTTGCAGTGTAAGAAAGATCTCTACCCTATGATGAAATATTCTCAAAGCCAGTTGGGAGATTTTCAGTTCTTGCTATGCAGAGTTGAATGCTATGCAGAATTTGAATTCTTCTATAAATTTCCTTCTTCATTTATGCTGTGCATAGTTGAATGTTTTATTCATTTTGCTAGTTTTTCATGTTTGTACATGCATTCTTGAATTGGTGAACAAATTATTCCTGAATAGTATTTTTATGTCACCACCAGAAGTGGTGACATATTGTTACATATTGTCAGAGTTTCCAACTTTTTTGTAGAAGCGGACAGCAGTTGGTGTTTGGTATTCGGGGTTTGTAACAAATGGCAGGTGTTAATGCATTGTTTCATAGTAGTTTCCTTTTTCCAGTATGCCATGCAGAGTTGAATGCCATTTTGAACAAGAACTCCTCTGACGTGAAGAGATGCACAATCTACGTCGCTCTTTTCCCGTGTAATGAGTGCACTAAGATCATTATCCAATCAGGAATCAAGGAAGTGATTTACGTGTCAGATAAATACCACGATAAACCTGAGATGATTGCTTCCAGACGACTGCTTGATCTTGCCAAAGTTAGATACACGTAAGCTACAAGTTTCTCTTAATACTATTTACCAGAATTTATTAGACTCTATTTTAAAACAGTTGTAGTAAATGTGAATTTTTAGTATTCTTGAAACTTTTGCCTACATTTAAATTTTGTTGTTCAATTTTATCTACATCTAGTTTGATGAATTTTCCTGTTAAATTTCTCATTTCATTATACACTATAGACACATTACATGTACAAAATTGAATCAATAGTTTTCTGTTTACTCTGCAGTATGTGTCAAACATATGCATTTACTCGTATAAACATAAATATTGTAAACAGTATAGGGATTTTTATTTATTTGCAGCCAGTACAAACCTAAAAAAAGACAAATTGTCATTGACTTTGATGAAATAGACAAGGTTATCACCACTCCCAGTCCTCAACTAGAGCAGCATAAAGATTCATGACAGTGTTCCAGAAAAGAATTTTAAATTCGAGGAAGTGAGCAATCTCTTATACAGGGTCTGTCAACATAATATTTTTATGAAATCTATTTGCATCAAATATCATTGGAACTGAACACATAGATGCAATGTGTGTGTAGCTGAACTCTTTAAAGGAAGTAGATGAGATAGAGATGTGTTCACCAAGATTTTTATCTGAGTTAAGGATTTAAGCCCTTGACTCAGTGCATTTTTTGCAGAATCATACCATGAAAGTGTTGTTTCCAATTAGTGCGCCTATTAGACAATACGGTAATTAAACTATTAATTGACCAAATCCTCCATTTTTATGTCACCACCAAGTGGCGACATATTGTAATAGTCTCCAACTTTTTTTTTGTGGATGGTGTTTGGCAGTTGATGTTCAGCCTCTGTTATAGCGGTCAGTATCTGTAACAAATGGTAGGTGGCGCCTTTTTGTGTGATAATGCCTTGTTGACATTTGGTAACTTTTTTAAATTGGCAGATTTTGCTAAACATTTTCTTCTATTGTTACTTTTCTTAAGAACTGCTACATTGCAATTAAAATGGACATATCTCGTAATGTATATTTTCTCAGAAATAGATGTTTGTATTGACCATGTTCACAAGTGCACGTGCAGATGTTAAAAATTAACGATTTTTTTCAAGATTTAGATCTATGATAAGTTCTTGACTTTTTTCTTCACCAATTTACAATGGACATTGCTTTAACAGAAAACAAACTCCATTGGTATATACACTTACTGTATGAAGAACAAATTATTTTTTGAATTACCAAATTCCCCAAAATAAAGTGATGCCAAATTGACCCATGTTACCAGGGCTTACAAATACTCTGCATAATACTTGCAAGATGTTATGACTTGTTAATTGAATAAAATTTATTTATATAAGAAAGTACTTTGATTTTATTTGTTGAGTGGACATAAATTTAGAACAGAGTAGATGCTTGAGGAGCAGTTCATGTATTCATACCTGCCAACCTAAGACAAAAATCTTGCAGAAGATTTTTTTAAAATGGCTGTATTTTTGCGGTAGATTTTTTCAAAATGCGGTAGATTTTGCGGTATTTTTCAACAAAAATGCGGTCGTTTTTGCGGTAGATTTTAAAAAAAAGGTAGTTTTTGCGGTAGATTTTTAAAAAAACAGTAGTTTTTAAAAAAATACTGTAGTTTCAGAGGTTTGGGGTAGAATTTTGAAAAAAGTGTAATTTTGCGGTAGAAATTTAAAAAAAAGCGGTAGTTTTGCGGAAGATTTAGAAAATTGCGGTAGTTTTACGGTAGATTTTAAAAAATGTGTTAGTTTTTACGGTAGTTTTTTGAAAAATCGGTAGTTTTGCGAAAGATTCTTAAAAAATGCGGTAGTTTTATGGTAAATTTTGAAAAAATGCGCTAGTTTTTACGGTAGTTTTTTGAAAAACCGGTAGTTTTGCGGAAGATTTTGAAAAAATGCTGTAGTTTTCCGGTAGATTTCGAAAAATGCAGTAGTTTTTACGGTCATTTTTTGAAAAAACCGGTACTTTTGCGGAAGCTTTGCAAAAAATGTGGTATTTCATGGTAGATTTTGAAAAAATGCGGTAGTTTTTGCGGTAGATTTAAAAAAAACTAGTTCTGAAGAAGAATTTGAAAAAATGCGGTAGTTTTGCGGTAGATTTTGAAAAAAATGCGGTAGTTTTGCGGTAGATTTTGAAAAAACTAATGAATAAAACAGTATGTTAACCATACTATCACACCAAACTAGTTCTCACTACGTTTTCGAAAAACGGCTAAAACTGTGCACGAACGGATTTGACGTACTAAGAACCGTTTGAGATCTGTTACACTTAGAGAGTGCTAAAAATTTTCTGGTGATCGTCACGTTCTGCAATCAGCACGAGTGACAAGGTACTTAAGACGACCTGGTCGCACTGGGGACACACTACGAAGGGAAGTGTCGTACTTCAGTCCTACTAGGGACGTATTACGACGTTGTGTAGTCAGGCGTAAATTGCAGCCGTGAGTACCCCAATCAGGAAAATAGGGGAGTATAAATGCGTTCTGCACGGATTAGGGACACGATGTTTACTATTTTAGAACGAGTTCAACCGTATGGAAATTTGGTGGATAATTCAGTAACATATTAGGACATATTGAGAACGAGGTACAACTAATTGTCAGCTGGTTTAAACTGATTAAGGATGTAATTGAACTGCTTGGTTACGTTGTGTAGACCAGACGAACGCACAATTTAACCCGATCTAAACTTGATACCAACGTACTGCAGACGGAATAAAGACGAGATGAACGTATTAAAAACTGCTTATGAACGGATTAACAAAAATAGCTATCACACCAGAACCAGTTGTCACTGCGTTCTTCAATACGTTGCCGAATCGGTTTTAAACTGCGTGCGAACTTGAATAAACGTAGCTACAACGTTCTACGGTCTGTTTACGAACTTCATGGACTTTCCCGGATGGGGAATGTGATTTAGAATTTTGAATCGATTCAATATCCTGCCGATACCTTATATTCGGGTTGGTAGGCTAAAGGAATATTACTGGGACAGTACAGAAAGACTTCAATTTTCGGCATTCCCAAACAAAAATGGGAGATTTTACGGTAGTTTGAACAAAAATACTGTTGATTTTAGCAGAAATACGGTAGATTTTCAAAAATATACGGTAGATTTTGCGGCCGTTCTCGTGGAAAAAATGATTTTTTAAAAAAAATATTTACGGTAGATTTGGGAAAAAATACGGTAGATTTTTTTACGGGCGTTTTTATGGGAAAAAAATGGCATTTTCTTACAGTAGTTTGTCATTTTTTTACGAAAAAACGAAAAATTTACGGTAGATTCCCGTAAAAATACGGTAGGTTGGCAGGTATGGTATTCGTGTCTCGTGTTTAGCACACTTTTCAAAGTGATATGTTGTAGTCATCTTACTGATGGGTGTACCCCCTGGCTACGTGCCAGAAGTGTGATGTTTATCACCAGGTGTCACTTAAAGCCATACAGGGTGTTCCAAAAGTAACAGGACTGGTGCTGGCATTTTGTCAATTCTGCACTGGGTGAGTTCACAAATTGTACCTTGATGTAGTGCAACTACAATTGTAAAGTTTCAGAAAAAATGATAAAATGCGGGTAAAGCTATGGTTACTATAGTAACGTGACATCACAATACCTGGGGCAACTTTTTCATGAAAATGTAATATCTAACATTTTCATATTATTGAAGAAAGTATCTAATTCACCTATTACAATACAACATTTCTCGTTTGCTTTATAGGTGTTGCTATACAACTCAGATTCAAGTATGATTTCGTAATAATAATATTTATTCAATTTCCTGAATATCATTATGTATAACAGTCTGCATAATTCGCTGTTGAGACCCAATTTGAAGCCAGTCATCCATCTTGATAAGGCGTCTGCCCGCAAGTCAGCATTAAAGACCACTGCAGCTATAGGAGAGCAAATTTTCTTTTTAAATGGAGATTTTTTTTTTTTTATTGAGATAAATTTATTTCATTACAAGATGTTACATTATACATCCCTTCAATCGCCCAATGGCATTATAGAAGGGTACAGTAAGATTATACAAATACAATATGAATAAGGTCAAGGGGTTAATACTGCACTTGAGGTTGAACATGGGGTCGACATATCTCTGTGGACAAAATTATTTAAAGTACTGTTAAGGAGGGGAAAGAGCTCATAGGTTTGTTTCAATGAATTCAGCAATTAGGGTTTGGAGTTTTGAATTTAAATCAAGGGAAACTTTTTCAGAACCATGTTTCATTAAGTAAAGCAGATCATTCTGAGTTAAGTGTTCGTCTGAAGAACCAGTTGTATCCATAATATCAGTTTTTAATTTGGTTATACTTTCTTTGATGAGAGGACATTGAAAGAAAAAGTGTTTTTCAGTCTGAGGAGCTCCACAATTACAATTTGGATTATCAATATACAGTAAAACCTGCGAACAGGGAATGCTCTTGGGACTGGAAGAAAGTTTCCTTGTTCAGAGGTTTTCCTTATAGAGAGGGGCAGCACTTTCAGCAAACTCAGAATTGCAGAATAAGCATTTTTTGTATATATTTGGGCATTATTGATTTTACCAATGCCGACTCCATACTTGGTTGCTAGACCTTGTTGTGACATCTTGGAAGATGTATGAAGGTCTCCCACCTCCTTCCTACAGCTGAGGGTAGGGAGCATTCTCCCGATGTTGATTTTAGCCACTGCTGCTGGCGTAGTTGTTGTAATTGTTGATAGATTTGGCTAGCTCAACATGACACATGTACTTATCTGTTATCTCCATAAAACAATTGTGTCAATCCCTAGATTATCACAACTGATTTGATGTAATTATGTTTGTTGAAAGGAAGAATTAGTGTCATGATAATTAGTAACAAACAGATTAGTATTAGTTTTAAAATATATCAGGGTAATTAACAGTGGGTGGGGTGCTACATCTTGTAAACAATTGGCTTATCTTAATCTCAATCATATTAATCCAAGCTTTTTAGAATCAGATATTGGCTTAAGACTTTCACGCCTCTGAAAAATAATGGAATATACAGTGTCACCAATATTCCATATTCCTTGTTCACAGGTGAATTTTCATAATTTGCACCAAAATAGTGTTCCTTGTTCCCTGTTCACAGGTTTTCCCTACAGAGAGGGTCCATTAACATGTAAGTCAATGGAAAAATATTTGGTTCTTTTGAAAAGCATTCCTTGTTCATAGGTTTTCCCTACAGAGAGGTATTCCATCGGACAGGTTTTACTGTATGTGAAATTATGTGCATAAAGTTGGGCTTTGAAAAGAAGATCGGCTCTAAATCTGTTAATAAGAATTTCATGAGATCTTTTCAGATTGAGTTTGGAAGTGCTCATAAAACTTTCTTGATTTTTAAACAAGATCTTTTGGTGTTTTTTAAAGGATTGAAAAGTTTTCATATTACGTAATATTTTAGGTAATTGTGACCAGTTTGATATTGCAGATGGTACTGATGAATTTAAGAAAGATATGGAGAATGGAATGCTTATCAGCGCGGTAAGACCTTTGAAGATGAGAATGACCTTGTCCAAGTTGTCCTATCGACCCTGCGTGACATGTCATCAAATTGGTTCACTCATGTGTTTGAGTCATGGATACTGAGTGCTACTCTTGGACTGACCAAAGAGGATCCTACTTTTCAAAGTAGAGGATACATAGGAATATCAAATGATGAATTTAGCATATGTAATTCCCACCATGCTGTTGTTGGATTCTAACTTTGATATGGGATGTACAAAATGCTTAAAGTCTCTGTAACTTTCTGCGTGGACTGTTGCCCCGGGTATTGTGATGTCATGTTACCATAGCAACCATAAATCTACCCGTTTCATAATTTTTGTCGAAACTTTGCAGTCTTAGTAACAATACATGGAAGTACATTATGTAAAATTTTGAAGATGATTGGTGCATATGCAACAAAATACCAGCACCAGTCCTGTTACTTTTGGAACACCCTGTATCTTAACTACAGTCCAAAAAAGACTAGAAGTACTCTTCACATAAATTATAAACATAAACAAAGATTCTGTATATTGGTATAAAAGTCTTATTATTCAGTGGTGCTGACACAAGTGGAGCTATTCTCCAATTGTAAACATTTGACATAATTCTATTCATTATGATTTGTAGAGACCATTGTAGATTAATAACCCATTAGTGAGATTTTAAATGTTGCCCTTTATATAAAATGTAATACTAGAAAATCACATATATTTCAACTTATTATCCCATCGAACAAAATTCGGAGGGATATAGCGAATGCCTCCACCCCTCCGTCTGTCCAGGCGATAACTCAAATACCCTTGGCCCGATTTTGTTCATATTTTGTTCAAATATGCCCTATGGGAGTAGAAGTTCTGCTTGAAAGCAGATTTTCAAAATGGCCACTTGTTTAAAAATGCTGATTTTACAGTAATTTGTATATAATGGTCTGAACAAGTAATTTTTATATAATGGTCTCAACAACTTAGTTCTCATTACATTTAAATATTGCAGCTTAGTACCACCATGGGCTTTCTTGATTTCTTGGTACCATTAATTTTATTTAAAACCAAAATATAAGATTAAAAATTTCAAAATAGACATTCACTAAAAGGGATGTTTCATTCTCCATTGTATATAGTTTAAATATGTCATTACATGTACATGTCCAAATAGAAAGTGATATGCTATTATAAAAATATAGATATAAACGTATAAAAATTTCATTTTCTGCACACTCATATACATATACATACATACTACAGTGTTATTTTCCATTTATGGGACATCTAAAATGTTGATCTAGTTAAAAGCAGAATCAGACCTATAGTGGTCGCAAAATTGCCGCTAATATGTACAACAGGCCAACTAATGTATTCTCTACCATCAAAATAAATTATCTTCAAGTCCATGAAATAGTATGGTAAAGTGGAAGTTATTTGGGATTTGAGATGGTATGGTGGGAGTTATTTTTTTAGATATGGGATGGTAAAGTGGAAGTAATTTGGGATTTGAGATTGTATCGAGGAAGTGTTTTGATATTTGAGATGGTGTCATGGAAGTTATTGGAGATAAGAGATGGTATCGTGGAAGTTATTTGGGATTTGAGATGGTATCGTGGAAGTTATTTGAGATTGTGTCGTGGAAGTTATTGGAGATAAGAGATGGTATCGTGGAAGTTATTTGATATTTGAGATGGTATCGTGGAAGTTATTTAAGATTTGAGATGGTGTCATGGAAGTTACTGGAGATAACGGAAGTTATTGGAGATAAGAGATGGTATTGTGGAAGTTATTTGGGATTTGAGATGGTATTGTGGAAGTTATTTGAGATGGTATAGTGGAAGTTATTTGGGATTTGAGATGGTATTGTGGAAGTTATTTGAGATTTGAGATGGTGTCATGGAAGTTATTGGAGATAAGAGATGGTATAGTGGAAGTTATTGGAGATAAGAGATGGTATAATGGAAGTTATTGGAGATAAGAGATGGTATAATGGAAGTTATTGGAGATAAGAGATGGTATAGTGGAAGTTATTGGAGATAAGAGATGGTATTGTGGAAGTTATTTGGGATTTGAGATGGTATTGTGGAAGTTATTTGAGATGGTATAGTGGAAGTTATTTGGGATTTGAGATGGTATTGTGGAAGTTATTTGAGATTTGAGATGGTGTCATGGAAGTTATTTGAGATGGCATCGTGGAAGTTATTTGAGATTTGAGATGGTGTCATGGAAGTTATTGGAGATAAGAGATGGTATCATGGAAGTTATTTGACATTGAAAGTGTGTTAAATTCTCCCAAATAATAAATGAACAGAGGAATGTAGGCTATATGAGCTTAGGAGATTTTCAGAAAATACTAAGGACAAAAATAATATGAGCCAAAATCGACAGTTATTCGGAAAAAAAATTGAAACAGTTATTCGAAAACGTTGCTTGCTAGATTGTGCCTATAAAATCACAACAGTTATTCGGAAAAAATTGAAACAGTTATTTGAAGGTTGCTTGCTAGATTCTGCCTTTTATATCCTGAATAAGTAAAGTCCTCCTGAGTATAAGACAATATAGAGCATAAGGTACAACTCTTGGAATGATTCATAAAAATGTTAAGAAGTGGAATGTTAACATAATAATTTGTATAAATATTAAATATGTACAATATTTCTTACTAAAACTATCTCAATTTGTTAAAACCCTTCTCATAGCTAACCCACTTGCAGTTCAATTTTGTTGTAAAATAATTTGTAGTACTATCAACTGTAGGCATCTTTGTCAAGTAAAAATACATTTAATGGTTGGTCCCCTTTCAAAATATCAAGTAATGGTTGATCCCCTTTAAAAATATCAATTAATGGTTGATCCCCTTTAAAAATATCAATTTGAATAAAATGTGATTACATGGAAGAAGTCAGATCTTTCTATGTTCCCTTTATGAAATCTAAAACCATATGATGAGATACTATACAACCTTTAACCTAACATTGGTATTATGCATGTGCCCATGGTTGTTTATAGGATAAACTAAAAATATAAGCATATACATAAAAAATCTGGAATGTCAAGTACTGTACATGTCTGTTTACTTAAAATAAATCTGTATGAGACAGGAATAAATGTTTCTAAGATATCCGACAATACGTGTATGCCTATATATCCAAATGATGTAGGTATTTGCAGAACATTTAAACTTCCAGTCTCCTCTGTTAAATGTTACAGTTACAGCTATATGCAGCATTGATTTTATCCACCGAGTAAAGTGCTTTCTTCTTCGTACAACAAACCTGCAAAAAACATTAAGTAATGATTGAACCTTTGAGCACAGAAAAGTGATTCAAAGAAAAAAGCATTTTAAAATGTTCTCATTGGATCCAATACTTGAATATTATAACATGATAAAACTTATTTTCAACTTTGATATGCCAAAATAGAAAATATTGGTACAAAATTAACATTTTTTGAAAAAATATTTTTCCTCCTAGATGACATCACAGCGTATCCTCGTGACATCACAAATTTTAAAAATGCGTAAAACATTTAACAGTGCATAAAATCATAGATTGAATGGTTGAAATAATACAACCTTTGCCTGATCTATCCAATCAAGTAGGAAAAATTGGGTGAGATTCTTATTTTTGAAAATTACTCGATGATCAATATTTTTGTCAAAAGCCACAATTTTTCAATAAATATCTCAAATATACTTTTTCAATTCAAAGAAAGTAATAATTGAATATTAAACAATAGTTTCAAACTGTACACTGGGCCTTTAAGGGAAGGGTAGCATATATTATTATATACCTCAAATGTATTCTAGATGCTCATTGGCTTATTCATGGTCACATGACATGGAATAGATGAACTAATTCCCTGGAAAGTCCTAAATCCCTGCTTTCAGGGAAGATGAATTGTACTAATCACCAGTTAGGTCATGTGACCAGTCAATAGTACGTTTTATCTTCCCCCAAATCTGAGATTATAGGAGTTGAAAGGTAAAATGCCTTTAAATGCCAATAAGAACCTGTGGACATTTGATATTGAAATGAAAAGACTACTCATTTTGTTTTTGTTTACAGAGTACTTATCAGGTATATAATAAAACAAATAGTGACTGCCACATTTTCGGGAAATAGTGTAAAAATTTTCCTCTCGGGAATATCCTGTCCACTGACTTGTTCCCTCGGCCTGCAGCCTCGGGAACATGTCAGTGGACAGGATATTCCCTTGAGGAAAATATTTTGCACTATTTCCCTCAATGGCAGTCACTATTTGTATAATATTTGTGCTTTCTTTGTGATATCTGAAGGAGCATTTTCAACCTCTTCATAAATTATACCATTTCAACAAGGATTTGTCATTGATACTTGTATATACTCATATTTACACAAGCTGTTGACAATGAATTGTTTTTCAATTTTCTAAAGTATTGAAGATAATACCCGACTAACAAAAAAGTTACAATGGATGGAAAACTGTTCCAATTTTTTGGCCTTCACCTGTATTCATTGAAAAGTTAATGTTTAAATCTAAAAAGTATGAAGATGAGCTTTATTTGGTAACCATGAAGTGGAGTAATTAATCTCAATAAACCAATATTTCAATTTAGATAAGGAATGACATTTTTTAGTACACAAATGTCATTATATAATGAATATACAGTACCTGTCAAGTTATAAAACATATTTCAATCAGTTTGAACGCACTTTGTATCTGGACCAAAACCTTATCTAGGCTTCATGCTTCAATTTATGATGTTTTACAGGAACTTCATGCACTAAATTATGTATTTTATGGTCTTTTAGGCTCCATATATAACTAGCTATATATTAAAGTGTCAAAGCAGAAAAATCTTGAGGTATACTACACCAACAGAGCAAAATATATCATGATAGACTTAACATTCTATGAATATTTTTGGGATGAAATTTTGTTATGCAAGGAGTTCCTTTATATACTTTTAATTTGCATTTAACATAATGGATTGATTTAAAGGGACATTTCTTGCCAGACCATTTTTACTAAACATGGGAAGTATATATAGAGATTATCCTATAGTCGGTTCAGGATATTGGGATTATCCCTTGGCCAATATAATATATTTTCCCTCGGGACCTGCGGCCCTCGGGCAAATATATTATATTAGCCTCGGGATAATCCCAATATCCTGAACCGACTATAGGATAATATATTTATCCCACACCAATCTTGTTCATCTGGTTCACATTGTTCAGTCGTGGAAATATTTTAAAATATTCATATCCAGTTTTGTTTTCTTTGCCTTGGGCGGATTTTCCTGTTCTCACAAATATTTCCGCATTTATTTTCTCGAATTTTTGTTAATTAAGTGAATGCTCATTCCCTCTTTAAACCATCAAACAAATCCCGATTGTCTGTGTTTTCTCCATTGTCGTTTACAGTCATTACGCGAACGTTACAAATTATGAACAAATATGCGAGCGGCGATTATGACGTAGCGGGCAGATATACTATATCTGCCCGCTCAGAGCGGAACGTAAAGCTATATCTGCCCGCTGATGAAAATATAAGTTTTTACAAACCGGCTTTATGTACCTGTAACACGTCCAAGTATGGGATAAATATGGTTATACAATGGAATTACCATATTAGGAGAGAGATGGTCTTGCAAGGAATATTCCTTTAGTGACTATTAACTGACCTGCTATACAAGCTGTCATGAAGCATGCCACATTGCCTGCTATCATGGCCCGGACAGCTATGCTAGCTAACTCCGGTTTCCTGTTTGGTGCCATGGCCCCTAATGCTCCTAACATGACCCCTATAGAACCAAGGTTGGCGAACCCACAGAGGGCGTAGGTGGCAATAATCTCAGAGCGCCTCTAAAAGAAATAAGTATTGTATTGCATTGTATTGTATTCCATTGTATTATATTGCATAGCATTACATTGCATTGCAGTGCATTGCATTGTATTGTATGAACTCTTAGATAATATTATGTTTCAGTTGCAGTGTCATAATAGTATTTCAATTTCAACATCAGCCTTCTCAACTGTAGAAGTCTCTCATGCAACCACAGCTAAACACTCTCTTACTTTTAAGACATAACTTGTAAATGTAATGGTGCTCATATTAAAAACGAACATGGCCCAATATGAGAATGTGTTAAAGTTGTTTTACTTACAGTGAGGATACCTCCAATTAAGGTTACATTTGTCCCAAGGTTGTAGATGAGGTCTTTGGGGGCAGTGCCATTTAACATCACATTAGTGAACAGTATGTCATCCTGTGTTGAAATGACCTGATGTACAGTGGTATCATTAGGATTATGGAACTGATCGTACCACATGTCAGACACTCTTTTGTTTTCTATGAGTACTCCTAAATCTCCATATGCAACAAACTCATTGATGAAGGTTTTTGTGCCTATTAACGATGCAACTTGACGGCAATCTTGCGAGTCGGCTCCCATGAGGAATGCAAATGGCCATAATAGGTAGGAGCAAATCAACTGAAATTGCAGAACATTATGGCGTTACTAAAGAATGGAATTGTTATGTAATGAAACCAACTGCCATTTCAATTTATCTTATTAACTTCATCTTTAAATCATTTGAAGTCTGAAGAACAAGGATAATATTTCCAAAATGATATCCAAACGTATGAATAATTGAAAGAACCAAAATAAATTTATGCCAAGAAAATTTTGCAATAACCTTCATATTTACCCTCCCCAAAACAAAGAAACTGAACATTCAATTGATTTCCAAAGTAAAAGGGAGTTTTAAAAAATTATGTTCACTAACAAAACATTATTACTGACTTAACCCCTACCCTTCTAAAAAGTATTCAAATGCATTTGTGGCACATTATTCACTGACATTGTTCCTACATTACATTACTATTTCAACTTGCGATAAATCTCGATATAAGGGAGGTGTGTTCTTGTAGCTCACCTGGAATGTAAGTTCTGGGTAGTCTGGTTTTTCTAGCCCAACACGGTGACCAAGCCACGTTAATGTGGCGTTCACAAATGCCAGCAAAGCGATGAAAGCGATGAGATTAGCTGCGATATTTGCCACAAGTTTCACTGACATGGACGCTCCACTGGAGGCAGCCGCAACAATATTTTTCTCTGGTCTAAAAAAGAGAAATTTTACATTATTTCTATAGATATTCATGGGCATCTAGAGTTAAAATTGAACAAGGCATTACCATGCAAAATGTTGCCACCTGCCATTTGTTACATATGACGAACTGGAATGCCAAATGCAAAGTGCCAGATGCCATCACAAAAATGTTGGATAGCACTTCAGACCTACTTACGGTTTTTCCATTGTACGGACATCTTTTGCAGTTGTGCGAGATTTCTCTGTCTCTGGATAAAACAGTTTGGACATTGCCAAGGCAGCAGGTGCTGACATCACAGATGCAGAGAGAAGATGATTGGCTGGGACCTATGAAAAGAAATAGAAACTTGAGGTGAGAGCAATGCCTTGTCAAAAACAAATAATTTGAAAAGTATTTTAATAGCATATACTTAAATCAAAGTTATTTACTGGTTTATCAATCTGAGTAACATTTAACTATACATGTGGTGGGCACATGACTCACCCCAAATAGAATGTAAGCAGCCAATACACTTCCAGCTATAGTTGCAAAGCCTCCTGTCATCACAGCATGCAGCTCTGACCTAGTCATGTCTTTTATGAGAGGGCGAATCATCAACGGAGCCTCACTCTGAAATATAACGGGGAAATTACAAAACCTTGGAATCTTCATAATATCACATTGTTATGGTTTAAAGTGGTTTTGTATTTTTCAAATGTACTGGATATAAATGCACTGTACCAAGTTTTCTTGTATTTTATGCTCTTCCATGTTGAATGTATTAAAGGCCTCGATTTAAGCTTGACAATTTTGAAAATATTTTCATTAAATGATTACTTAAAAGAGTAAGGCCTTATTTAAAGAAAATTCATAAAGCGATAAGAAGTATATAAATATGACCATGGGTCCATAATGGAAGAAGGTATCTCGATCTTTTTTATTAATCAAATGGTATTGAACCATTCACTAACCTGTCCAATAAAGATATTGCCAGCTGCATTGAGAGACTCAGCTGCAGTGGTTCCCATGCAGTGCTGCATCACCAAGGCAACGCCTTTGATGACAGTCTGCATCCAGCCTAGGTAGTATAGCACAGAGATGGCAGTACTGAAGAACACTACAGTTGGTAATACCTACAACAGTAATAAACATGTAACATATTGAAATTGTGTAGCTTCTTGGGATAAATACAGCATCATGGAATGTTTGTGTGGAAACATAAAGCGTTAAACATGGCATAAACCTACAAACTGTCACCACATGCCATTAGTTACAGACATCGACAGCTGAATGCCAACCACTGAACAACATCCACAAACAAGCTGGACACTATGACGATATAAAATGTTTAGCGCTATCACATATTTCACCATAGATTAAATTTATAATCATTAAATTTTATTTAGATTATAGGGTTGCTTACACTGAAAGCGAAAAAATGAGCCTGGTATGCATCACCGAAGACAAACTGTGCTCCCGCATTAGTATGAGCGAGGAACTCTGTGACTCTGTCCCCGAGCCACTTGAAGGCTTCATAGCCCCACCAAGTGCGGAGTATGACCAGGGCAAATATAAACTGCAACAACAGGCCCATCAAAACTGGTGTCCATTTGACCTATAAAAGTATCATTTATATAGATATACTAGTAAGTCAAATGCATGCAATCCTATTATTAATACATGTGAAGAAATGATGAGATTGGGGAGAAAAATTACTCTTACCATGGGCTTTCAACTAGAAGCCCATGCTCTAACATAATAAAAAAATATTTGAATCATGTTGAAGTTGACACACTTCAAGAGACAATAGCCTTAAGGACTGTCAATATATTATATAGCGAAAAATCTAGTTCAAAGAAAATAGCCAAAACCCCATGATACATAAAACAAGTTATTAAATAATGTGATGAGAAAATGTGATATCAATATTCAAAATTTTAAGACAGCAATATTTACATATAAGCCAATGGGACAGGTGTAAGGAACAACCCACTTGATAAAATAGTGAACTGCCATCTATACGAGTCCTGGCTCCCATTTACAGTAAATGTACTCAATGTTTACAATAAGTATTCTCCTTCAGGAGACAATCACAGTGAATGTACTCAATGTTTATGATGAGTTATCTCCTACAGGAGACAGTGGGAGAGTGAGTAAATTGTTACCTTTGCTGGGCTGTAGGAGAAGATGTAGAAGAGGAGCACATAGACTACAAGTCCTGCTGCAGATGTAAGGTTGTAGGGGTTCTTCAAGGCAACTTCTACTATGAGGATTACGATTACGAATGCAATAGCAGCAATTATAAAGAACCTACAATGCAAGGAGGAACACATTAAGTTTAAAACAAAACAAGACAAGTTTAAATACATGTATATAATTCAAAACAAGTTTAAATATATAATACAGTTATATCAATTGGCTACTCCATTCCCCGCTTTTTCCAGTTCAGATTTCTATCAGTTTTAAGCAAAAAACAGCTACTCCATGAAGGATACATCCAACATTGTATAATGTACAATTGTATTGTATAATGGGTAGTAAATTTCTACAAAAATGACCCTCTCCCTGATGTAATTTTATATATGAACATCTATTTGACAATGTAGTTAACTTACCATCTTATAATATACCATTTTTCTTTTATACCCCTCTTCATAGGCTTGATACACTCTGCTATCTGTCCCCCACACATCTTGTATATTGTGTATAAGATAGAGCAGAAAACAACCAGACAGGTCACCCATAGCAACCGTATAGAGCCTTCGTCTCCAAACCGGTGCGCCATAGCAAAGCCAAAGTAGACGAAGTAACCAATGATGAGAAAGATGTATATTGCATTCCAGATGATTTTCTTGTTTGACTTGTAGCTGTTTGATAGTCCATATTGGACTTTCCCAACTGCCCTGGCGCAACAGTCCGGTTCTTCATCGTCTTCTGAAACACAGGAACAATCAATGCTACAAAGCGGGAATAATCAATGCAATAGAGGAACAATCAAGCTACAGATGAACCATCAAGTTACAGAGGAACAATCAAACTAAAGAGGACCAATCCATGCTAACAATTGATGCTATAGAAGAACAATGAATGATACAGAGGAACAATCAATTTTACGGAGGAATAATCAATGCTACAGAAGAAAAGTCAATTCTACCAATAAACAATCAATGCTACAATGGAACAATCAATGCTACAAAGGAGAAATCAATTCAATAAAGGAAAAATTGATTCTACAGAGGTACAATTAATGCTAGACAGACAACTAATTCTACTGATGAACAATCAATGCTACAGAGGAACAATCAATGCTACAGAATTGGACAATCAATTCTACAGAGGAACAATCAATGCTACAGATGAATCAATGCAACATAGAAATAATTAACTTTGGATCAAAATGTACATGTATATACTGGGAACAATCAGAGGACAATAAATTCATAATGCATTTTGCGTCATCACATGGTTCTTTCATTTTCACAGTATCCTAATAACCTATGTCACAATCAAAGTAATGAGATGAACTATCTATACCTTTATTTCACTAATAATGATGATAACAAAGTAATTTGGCCAATTAAAAGTTGAGCTTGGGAAAAGAAAAGCCAATTAAACAATTAAGTACTTTCTGATGATAACCACATACTGTTTCCATTGTTTTAATAGTTAAACCCATTATCAGAAATACATTGATTTCCCATTAACAAATAAAATATGATAATAATGGTATTTATTTCTTTTTTTAACTGTGATTTACTTGGAGTAGAACAGTATGAATTTTAAATAATACTAACAATTAATTATTATAAGTTTTCCAGTGGAACTGGTGTCTAGCAAAGGAGATGACTTCAAGTACAAATATTCTCTCTATTTTTCGAAATCAGCCCATATTGTGCAGCTATTTAGAATTTTTTACAAAAACATAGCATCATTTGTATCAATATAAGATCTTTGCAACAGCATGTAGTGTGCATAGGTATAGCAGCATAAAAAAATAAATAGCTTTCCCTTTAACCTCTTGAATCCCAGGTTCTAAAATAGGTTGACATTTTACTATCACATATACAACAGACGATGTTCAATTTAGTAAAATTAGACGACAGTGATCATTTTTAGACATTTTAAAACAATTTTTGTGTAAATTGGATAAAAATTGTTCAAATAAGAGCAATTTTAGTGAAAGATTTTGTGACGGATTATCTTGTCACTCTGGGTTTCAAGGTCATTTCTGAGGTGATGAGAAATCTCGTCACTCTGGGTAGTCAAGAGGTTAAACTTGAATAGAATGGTCATGCTCAAAGAACATTATTTAACATACCATAATCTGTCTCTATTTGTGGACCTAATTCAGCTTTAACTGGAATGTTGTCAACACCATTGGGTTTGTGTGAAACTTTGATATCATCTGGGCTTACCTAAAACACAATGGAGATAAATCACAATAGCTTTCATCCATTCTGATACTCATAGCATCTCTCTCTGTTGCATCGCATAAGGATAGAGATGGAGTGGGCGTGGCTTACCACGATGGCTTTCATATTATCTTGGGTCACGGGTGAAATCACATTTTTGAATTTACTCTATAATGAAGAACCACCTTAAATTTACCATGGACTCTTTCATGGATATTCTAGTTTTTATTAAAGACTTTTTAAAGAATTGTATCTGAATATGTAAGTGTCATATCCAGAAGAGATTAGATATGAGATATCTAAGATATAAAGGAAATATTAATATCAACCAAGGGAAAATATCAATTTTACTTGTACTAATCAGGCAAGTATAAAGTAGATTTGTCCCTTAATCAATACAAAGTTTGATGTATTAACATGAGCTACCTTTAATTCACTATTGACATAGCTAGTTTAAAATGTTTCCTTTGACCTCAACACCAATATATCAACATATAAGTAAGTATTTACTATTGCAATTACAGATTGATTTGAATCAAGACACACTGGCAAATCTAGAAGGGAAATTTGTGCTTGAATTTGTGCCTCAAACTATATGTCCCCTAAGTTAAAGGGAGATTCAGATCTTTCAAAAATTATTTCAATTTGACAATATTTTGTCTCAAATGATTCTTTGTCACAAACATGTACATGTATATTTTCCAAAATATACCCAAAGTTCATATGTATTTTATTCTAGGGAAACTTAAGATTTTAGAATTTTTCTTTAGTAATTTCTATTATATATGTGTGCCAAGATATGTAAAGGGGCAAGATATTCCTCAATACCTGGATCCACCCCTAAAACAACCACAAAAGTTAGCATTGGTAAACAATTTAGCTGTGGGTAGTGGGTATATAAAACACGGTAGTGTACATAAAAACACTTCAATACAACAGTCTGCCTATGTTTATATGCACAAATCTCAATAATAAATGAATGATTTGATTCATATTCTAAATAATGTCGTACACTTTGGTATTTAAGGTATCACATTTAAGGACACAGCGTTCTAAAGCATATATATGTCCCTACAAAACACTTGTTGGTATCGATTTGCATTGCAATTTGACGAAATATAATATTGTTGTTACATTGGATCAACCACTGGTCATACATGAACAGAATTTAATCAGTAGTTGAAACATTCCCTTTAATTTTAATACAACCAAGAAATTACTTCTGTAGTTGTACAAATACTGAACTATTAAAGGACCTGTCAAAACATTGAAAAAACTCATAGCATAATTGAATGCTTTAATCAGTGTTTTAAGATACTTATAGAAAGTTATTCCCTTTCATTTGAAATGTAAATAAAGGTCGTTCCCTAAAGCTATTATGTGAAACAGTGTACATAGCTTTGGATTGATACCATGTTTAACGCACAATGTATATACAGCAGTTAAATGTTTATGGTAATACTGGTATGGTGCATTTATGTAGACACTGAGGGTGGAAATTCAAGAGAAACCAGAATTTTTAAGTAGAAACTGTCCATTGAAAACAAGATGTATGTCTCGTGTCAAAATGATGAAACGTGATACATGCGAGTAATTTGTGTCATTTTGACCTACTACTTCATGGAACACTTTGGCTTGTCACTCATCCCCTATGTTGTTGTTTTTGTTTTTGAAATTGTTAAAAAACAAGAAAAGCCCACATGATAGAAGTATGTATTTTTACCTCTGGTTCTTGGGAAGGAACGGGGTTTGCAAGGCTGTCTGTGGAGGCTTGGTATGCCTTGTTCTCAACTCCTGCATCTCGCTTTGTGTCCGTCTCATCATTGGTGATGTTGATAGTGGAAACATGGGGGTTGTCTGCCTTTCTGTGGACTGCCTGAAGTTCGACAGACATTCTGTTGCTCTCTCCGTTTTGTATGTTGCTTTGTATAAATGTTGTGATGTCCTAAAATGGAGAAAGTTGGTAGTCTATATCCAACAAAATGAGTGAGAACGTTCTTAACAATGTAATGAGATTTAATAATATATTGATTGAGCTCGCTATATACTTTCACTTTCAGTGCTTACCGCAAATCTTTCTTGATCCTTTGAAAGTGTCAATATACTGGCAATATAAGTTTAGAACGCTGACTCTTGACACTTGTTTTACTGTTTTTTTCACTTCTTGTTCTATGCGTTACGTGCGTTCCACTTTTACTTACTACATTTGAACTGAGATTTGAATGTTTTTTTACTATATAAAATCTTCCTTGGTTTTCTAAGTAAGTTATCTCTTGTAGTTATCCTGAAATATTGGATTCAGATTATATTTCAAGTAGTTTATATTATACTTGTTTATTTCCGATAAAACGTCAATGTACCTAAATATAACCTCCCTTTCTGTGAATCAGATGTGATACTAACTCGATTTCAGTGCAGTTGTTTAGTGGACTAAATCGGGTAGACTACAAAACGTGGAAATGCGTATATAAGGAATTCGATTCAATTTGACATCCGGAATGTGTGATCTGTTTCCCAGAAAGTAGTAATTTCAATGTTTATGCAATGAATCATCCATAACTAAAATACAATTGGTTATTCTGAATTCTATGCAGACTTTCGTTTCATCGTGACTTACTGGAACTTCCCGGTTCAGCAGATGTTAAAATCCCGTTGAAAATTGCGGTTAATATAGAGGGTCGGTCTAGGCCAATCAGCATTATCGAGCAAGACTGGTGTTATAGTTTACCTTTAAATACTTATGGCACATATACCCAGGTAAAATATCCGCAATGTCAATGTTAAGCTCTTTGGGCATCCTGATACTCATAGCATCTTTCTGTTTCACCTGAAACATGCTCTGATATTATGAGGCATATTTTGTGATCTGAGCACATCAGATGGGAAGAGTTATAACTGTCAATAAGTGTGATTGTTATCATGTAATCATTTACCTAATGTCAATACATTACATAATAGGCATTGTATTTAACAGCAGATATTAGCACAGGCACTGTGTACACAAGTTTAATGACCCCAATTAAATGAAATATGAGCTGGGATGAAAGATCTCAAAAATCCTCAATTTTGGGCTCTCTTGGATCGCCAAATCAAGCTCATTATATTATGGCATCTCAGGGCTGAGAAGAAATGAGATGTCATGGTATATCATGATGCTCTTTGGGTTACATCGACAAAAGGTCATTGCATTTTATATCCTAAAACACGGTCATAGTTTTCTAAATACATTATCAGCATCCACAGTGAAAGTTAAGCCAAATCTGAAAATAAGCAAAGGACCACATGACATTGCAAGTTACACCGTAGACAAACTACTTAGAATTTTATGTTAGTCTCATCCCCTGGGGTCTCATCTGATACCTAGGATAACAGACGGAGGGAAATCGACAAAATGGGAGTACTGCAAAATTCAATAAAACTGCAAAAGGATAGGTATTGATATGGTGAACTGAATTCAACAATGTTTGAAAACATTCTGTAAAAAACACGGTCCTTTATGTAATGTTGACTGATTGGCAACAGTTTAATGCAAAAATTATTTTTATAAATGTTTTTGTTAACATTTTTTGTTTTTTAGTGAAATTGTTTTTTATTGTGGTCGCCGGGTTGGCCTAGTGGTTAAGGCTTACTCACTTCGAGAGCCATGTTAGATTTTGAAACTTATGGCTCTCAAACGGAGAAGTGAACAGCTGATCAATAGTGACCTTTGAAATCGAATTAAGTCGATCCGCGGCTTACTTTTGGTCTCTAACTGTGTCTTACATCAGTATCATCAATCCGTGTAAGTATTGGAGCGCTGGAGTACATCTTTTTCGATCAATTCGATTTCAAAGGTCACGATCATTGAGCTGTCCAAATGCTCCGTGGGAAAGCTATTATATCAAAATCCAAATAGCTTTCGCAGGAAGTAAGTTAAGGCATTGGTCTGAAAAGCAGGAAGTCTGGCTTCATGCTGAAAAGTAGAGGTCTTGGGTTCAAACCCAGGTCACAGCACTTCTTGTGATTTGTCTTTGACCTATGACTGCTGACCTATACCGGCGATTACTAGAGTGCTGCTAACTCGATAAAAAGGCTGGCGCTGGCTAGAATTGTCTATGGTTGTAGCCAGGATAAAGATACCAGTTCTTCAACTCGACAATGGGAAGAACTGCTCCACCTTAGTGACTAAATGTCATGATATGACATCTAAAGAGTCAATTAAATATATATATATTCCTTTCTGCCAATTCTTGAGAATGAAATAAAATGTCTTTCCGAAGCTTGTTGGATCAAAATAGCATATGCAACATTTTCTTGAACCTCTCAATATTATAGTTATACAAAGTAAATTTTGATTGATTTAACAAAAGCATGCAAAAACTTAACAAAACCCCCAAAATAGATAAAAATTAAGATAAATCTTTTATTTCATTAACAAGATACTTTTTTAAAATCAACCAAACTTTCCTTTGTACAACTACAATATTCAGAGACCTAAACACGTTGTGTTTATGTCGTTTTGTTCTAATATATGAGGTTCGGATAGATTTTTCATTTCATTCCGAACATATGATACCAAGAACAAAAGAAGTGTCTGATGTGTTTTCTGTAACAATATAGAGAAAAGTATATACATGTTTTTATATATGTTTTTCAAATTATAATCTTACCATTCAAAAGTTGACCATTAAGTTGACGATGTGTAAAATTTTCAGAATGTTTTGATGACTGGTTTAAGAGAAACGTGTGTTCAAAACAAAAAGTTCAACATATCGATACCACTCCTTTATTTTAAATAAGAGAGTTTACTAATTAATCGCCAAATTATAGGCGCACGGTATGGCTTCTCTGATTTTTCTAAAGGGATACACTTCTAAGGTAGGAGATCTATTAAAAAGGTGCAGCGTCACAATAGTGCAAAAGTCAAACGTTATGCTATGAATCAAGTGACGCGGGTATACACTAATTGAAATAAATACTAAAGTAGGTGACGTCTTTCACAAAATGTTATTTTGTTGTTGCTTTTTTTAAAAATGAGTTATGAACCGAAGTTCAATACTGGGGTATGTTTCAATTTTTGACGTTCATGGTTCTTACCATGTAAATACTGGAATAGTATGTTGTAGGAACATACTCATGTTATGTACCACAATCTTCGTAATGATACCTTCTAAAAATCTCAAACATACATTTTCCACATTACAAATTATTTCATTTTCAAACGTTAAAAACACGGCGTCACGCGCAACATTTGTGCGCGCTATATTTCAAAATGATGTGGAATCCTTATTTTTTATTCAGTTTTGATAATTAGGTAAGAATAAATTCCTTTAAACAAGCGTTTATGTTACGAGGTCATTAGTGTGTAGTTGACAATGTCACACTTGTTTTTTGCCTATCCCTAGGACAGGAAAATGTCATTTATTTCAGAATACATCGCTTTAAAGGCTGAAATTAAAATTAGAAATAAGGTTTTAGCTGAAATTGATAAATGTGAAGAAAATATATTGACTTTTCTTCCGGGAATTTCCTTAAGATTCCTCAGATATCGATAGGCATGTGCGGTGTGAAAAATGTCCCATCTAACATTTTGCGCTTAAAAATACGCAAATTCAGTCATCATACACGCGCATGAGAATGAAGAAATGTATCAAAATGAAAACATTTTAGATATAAGTTTTTAATATTTTAAGCGTGGAAAATGTCGTGCATTTTCATTCATGATTAATTGTCAAACGATCCGAAATACGAATACGGGTGTGTGTGTGTGTGTGGGGGGGGGGGGCTGGAGAGTAATATGGCAAAAACGTAAAACAAAGTTGCACGAATTCTGTATTTGAACAAATATTTTGTAATGATAACGTCTGAACGTTACATTTAAAAATTAGGAAGTTTAAGCTTGCAATGTTTTTCACAACCTAAAGGTGAATGGAATATGTTTAAGCTGTGCATTTGTATGGGCGATTGGTCATACAAATAGGTTGGCGTTTCGACTTTATATGCAAGCTTAAACTCCGTATTAACTAATACAAGATGTAATCACATGCCCGCAAAAAGGACAAAATGTTGAAGGAAATATACAAGATGCAGGTAGAGTAATCTTGTTATTTCATTTAATATTCAGAATCTAGTTAAAATTGCATCTAGAAATGTGGTTTAAAAAGTAAATACCAACTTTGAAAATGTGACTTCTACAGTAGGTCGAGGAGATTCCCCATAGACCCCATGCTACAGAATCACAAAAAGTGAAATACCTTTTCTTTTGTTGGGCAGATATTTTCATTTACTAGACATATTTTCGTTTGTATAATTATCAGACACATAATGATAATATGAAAATTGATACACTTAAACTGATAATATTCAAGTTTAAGGGAACTTTCTTATATACCTGCCCCAGGGTACCTGTCATGTTAATTAACCCTTATCAGCCACCTGGTGGTGAAACTGGTAACTACTTACTCGCATCTGGGTAATTGGTTGTACGTTTTATTCGAGAAACGTTAACTTTCCAGGATTTCTTTTTCCATGACGAGGAAAGGTTCATTAACTTTCCAAAAATGTTGATCACGATCCCCGGGTTTGACTCCAGACGGATTCAGCACCTCTGATTCAGACCTTATGTTCGTTAATCTTGGAAGTGTGGTCACTTGTAAATGGCTGAAACTGTTAATCTAATTTTATGCTCGTACAGACGTCAAATTACGCCCGTATAGACTTACGCTTGTGTAGACGTGAATTATGCAGAATATGAGACAACATGCATGTAAAGGCGTAAAACTCGACGGAGGTGAAGATGTTACTCAACGCGTGTTAGATAATGTCTCAACGCCCGCAATTGACCATTTTAATGATTTAAATTACACGTCCGTATGTATTGTTTGAACGCCTGTAGAATTTACCTCTCCACAGGTATAGCGTAATTTACGGCTATATAGGCGTAATTTACGTCCAAACAGGAGCTAGATATTATGGTTGGCCTATTAGTATAAAGAATGCATGCGTTGTTTACGGGTGTGTAGGCGTTAATTACGCTCGTGTAGATGTAAAATTACGCCCGTGCTGACCAAAAATTACGCCTGTGTAGGCGTAAATTACGCCCGTGAAGAAGTAAATTCTACGGGCGTTCAGAATACATTTACATGCGTGAACTTACGGCGTTAAAATTATTAATTACGGGCGTTAAGACTGTTATTTTACACGCGCTGAGAAACATCTTCACGCCCGTGGAGTTTATTTTTAGCGCCGTAAATTATGAACCAATCAGAACCTTACTTACATGATGATTTAATGCATCCTTGCTAAAAGAGCAACTCCGAGATACTTGCGCTAGTAAACAACAATCAGAAGCCTGCTTACATTTTAGTGTGTTGCATTGAGGTCCTTAAATATTCGTTCAAGATTGAACTAGATTTAACCAAAGAAGTATTCATTTTTTAGAGCAAATTATATTAAAAGGCAAATTGAAGAGACATGTACTGTGTTGGCAGTTATCAACACCCATTGTAGAAACGACAAAATTGCAGAGTATTTTGAGAAGGTATACATGTTTGGTTTCTAAATACGATGATTTTTGGATAATTCTCCAATCTAGGCGTCGGCTTCAGAGGTAGGCTAGGTAGGGACTTATTAAGCTCACACGCATTGCAGCTTACAGTCTCATTATACAGTCAGATCGCTAATGTATCCCTCTAAAGGATGTGTCCAGATACTAGAATTATAGTATCTGATCAACTGCAAATTGACTCTAGACTATATCCTGCAGATCTGGCATTTTTTGAAAATGTACTGAAAATGTCAAATGAGCCTATATACCTAGTATACCTAGCCAACATATGTTCAAATTTGGTGTTAGGGAGATGTGTACTTTTTGGAATCTTTATGCAGCCGTCTTTATATGTCACATGTTATTTCCAGGAATACATAACTCATTTAATATACGATGTAAATCTTTCACATTTGCACAAATAGTGCACCGAGATACCCAGAAAAGAAATAATATTTCATATGCCTCCAATAACCCAGATGCGAGTAGAAATAATCTTACTTTACGTCATTAAAAATTCAAAATTCAGTCAAAGTGATATCATATTTGAAATCTACATGTAAAATTACATCTAGAAATATGGTTTTAAAAAGTGTTTATCAACTTTGAAAAATAATTTTTCTTTGAAAATGTGACTTCTAGCTCGGGGAGATTCCCCATAGACCCCATGCTATAAAATCACAAAAAATGAAATATCTTTTCTTTTAGTGGACAGATAATATTTTGCTTTACTGGACATATTTTCATTAGTATGGGTATCAGACGCATAAGGGTTATATGAAAATTGAGCCACTTAAATTGATAATATTCAAGTTTAAGGGAACTTTCTTATATACCTGCCATGTTAATTGACCCGAATCAGCCACCTGGTGGTGAAACTGGTAACTACCTACTCGCATTTTGGTAATTGCAACAGTTGTTCCTGGCACAATCATGAGTATGTTATTAACTTGCACAAGGATCTTGGAGTTGTACTTTTAGCTTTAATGCATCGTATCATCATGTAAGCAAGATGCTGATTGGTTCATAATTCACGGCGCTAAAATGAACTCGACGGGCGTGAAGATGTTTCTCAGCGCGTGTAAAATAACAGTCTTAACGCCCGTAATTAATAATTTTAACGCCGTAAGTTCACGCCTGTAAATGTATTCTGAACGCCCGTAGAATTTACTTCTTCACGGGCGTAATTTACGCCTACACAGGCGTAATTTTTCGTCAGCACGGGCGTAATTTTACATCTACACGAGCGTAATTAACGCCTACACACCCGTAAACAACGCATGCATTCTTTATACTAATAGGCCAACCATAAGCTGGAGTAAATTTACGTCTGTACGCGTTATTTAAACAGCCCCCATTATTTTACAAGTGGACACTTACCCCCACCTTTATGAGTACGTTCTTTTCTACAGATATCACATCAAACCTTACAACGACCGGGTGCGTAGGTAGAGTTAAAACGTTTTTTGGTACAATGACTTCGCGAATCACTCTATAGTTAACGGTATTTACCCTTTCACATGGACCTGAAAGATCGTTTTTCTAGAACTTTTGACAATAGTTACACAAAGGCTTCTAAAAATGTTGGGATAGTCCTAATAATGACGAAAACAACTGCTATTTCAAATTAGTGAGTCTCAGAAAGAAGGCGTAAAAAGCATAATGCAGAATACAGCTTGCTAGAATAATTGAAAGATGAACAGGTATTTACCCCAATAATATTAATACAATATTTCTTGGGATATCCCCGGGGCTGGTAAGTCCTCTTGAAAAAGCCCAGAAATACTATAACAATAAATGCAACATAGGTTCATTAAGAGTTCTCCACTCCAAGTCTTTAGACAGTGTAACAATTGAGTTTACATACAAATACCACAAAAACGATGAAATAGTAAATAACAATTGAATGTATGATTTATTCATCCTCCCTCCATCTCCTGTACAATATTTACATTTGATTCAATTATGCACATCCCCTGGTTTATGTACACTATATACATGGTGATAATCTACATCTCTATACACTGTACTGTACAAAATAGAATGGCAACAATAAAGGTTAATTCACAGATTCAGCCTAGTGCAAAACACAGAAAAACATGGCAAGTTAGTGTTCCACAACCAAATGTAGCATGGCATCTGTGCAGTAGACTGAGTACTTACTACCCTTTTGTAATCTCCAATTTAATCAATCTGATTTTTGGAGGATTTAAATTTACAAATAGACAAATCAATAAAAGTTTTATCTACCTACATCTTTCAACCATATATAAATATTCAATGATGAAAGTGTACATTGACTAGCATAATATCCAGCTCATTTACATAGAAATGCATAGTTTGAACAAATACACTTAAATAAGCATTGCAAGATGCAACATTGCAACTGATTTCTTTGGAAATATTCTCATTTTGAAACTGACAAAATATATGCCACGAGGACTAAATGCAACTCAAATAGGCCTACAATTGAAATAATATTAGCTCAAAAGCATCTGAATAATGACACCTACAAACCTGAATTCAAGCTTTACTTTCTTATAAGGTGATGACGCTCAATAAATGAATTGTGCATCTAGCTTTATTACATATATACACCACAGGGCCTTAAATACTAGGCTTTAAACTTCACCTATGATTACACTTGTTTGCTTTAAGGTTTGTTAACTACCCTCAACTAAATGATCATACCTCCCAGCTAAAATTCAACTAAATTTCATGAGATATACTGTATGATTATCTTTCTTTACAGAAACACACGAGGTTCTATGATCAATAAATGCCAGATTTATTTCGAATATCTCTTGATTAAACTACCTCAAAGTATTCATTTCAACCTTTTTAAAGCATTTCTAAATTACTGCAATTTTGGCATCATTAACCCTTCAAGTATATTCATAAACAGTTACTTGAAAGCATGTATAATTAAAGCCTCTTTCTCCTTTTTTTCCATTTTATGCCTTACACCATTGACTCTTCTATAACTGTAGAATATACATAAAAGAACAAGTTGCTCACAACAATATTTGGAACATGCACAGTGATCTCCTCAGCATTAAAGCAAGTGCTCATTTGCACCCACTTTAAAATGAGAAAAATCATGTTAAAATGGGAATATTTTGACCAATTTTGGTATATTGTGAAAATTAGAATTTTGCACCCATATGAGACAAAATCCTGGGGAGATCACTTATGCGATTGAAACCACAACTAATATGTAGGTACCACCACTAATATGTAGGTACCACCACAACCAACTATGATTTCATAAATAACAACACAGAATTTGAGTTAGTCACAGTTTAGGAGGCACCCTTGTGTATAACTGGAATCTAAGACCAGATGTACATATTTAATATATGGTTGTGTTGGGTTGAACATACCAACGTGTCCCACTATTTAGAATGTAGAGCATTTTGTGAAGAGCAAGGACATGTTGAACTTCCCATTTTCAACTTGAATTTCTGAATTTGAGATGTTTTTCCAGCACCAAAATTTAGGTTATCCTCGATATTTTTCTCTTAATAGAAATGAAGAACTGATTGATATTCCACAGTTGTCCATTGTCTGCCCACTGGGAATTCATTTCTAGTCATGCGATATGGTGGTTGGCGCTCTCTATGTGACCTCAGGTGTGGTTTAGTGTGGACCATCAATGGCAATTTACTTTGGATCAACTTGGGGTGGTTTAGGCATTGAGTTGTGAAAGTCTCCACTGTGGATCTCTGGTTGGTAGGTCAGTAGAACAACCATCACCCAAAGATGAAGCAACATCTAAAATACAAGATAAAAAACAAGGTACTAACATGCAAAATATCATCACCTGCCATTTGTTACAGAGGCCATATTACAGATGCTGAAACGCAGTCCACAAAAGGTTAGAGACTTTAACAATATGCCACCACTTGGGATGTTGACATAACAATATTACCAATAATACATAAAATTTGAGTAAAGTTTATTAACATCAACCATAAAGCTAACGAAAAGAGTAATATACGAGTGATTTTTTTCTCCTGGAGACCAAGGATAATTGACATCATGAATAATTTAGTAAAACCTGTATCTGAATACCTCTCTTATCCGAACACCTCTAAATGTGAACACTTTTTCCCAATCACAATCTCCCATTAAGAAACCTTGAAATGCGAGCAGCTGCTTATCTGAATACTTTTGACCATTCCCAGTGGTGTTTGGATAAGAAAGGTAACACTGTACATCCTTCTACTTACCATATAAAGAATGACAAACACACGAGCTATGGGGTAGCGTCTTAGGAATATCCCCAGGCGAACACTAAAGCGATCTATAGAGTTTGCAGCAGTCTTTAGGTTTCGGGTGACCCTGGTATCCTGTGGACTCTCTCTCATAAATGATGGCATTCTTTGGCGCACTGAAACACAGAAATTTACAAAATGGAGTTAACTGAATTCAAAATAAGAAGTGTATAAAATACCAGATCTTTCAATTAATTTTCTGCTTAGATAATAGAAGTATAATCATTACCTCAAACTTATTTTGCAAAGAAGCAAGAATAACTGAACTTTTCATCAAAAGCAAATGGCCCCGAGGGTATAACAGTTAAAATGCTTCAGCTTTGCTCTAATTCAGTTTCTATTGAAAAAATGAACTTCTATGACAAACCTTCAGAATTGTTCTCATATTACTATTCCTAGAATAATTATGTTTCAGGAATAACATCAGAAAGATCATGCAAATATCAGTTTAAATCTAAAAATCTAACAAGCATATTAATTGTACAGTAGATATTGCAGATTATAGGGATGAATAGATCTGATGTAATCACTTCTGCTAATCACAATGCAGCTACAAATCAACTATGTTATTTCTATTTAATAGTTCTAACTAATACATTGATTATTGATCCATTGGTGTTTGTTATTCATTCATTGAATGTAACTTATTCATTGGTGTTTGTTATTCATTCATTGAATGTAATTGATTCATTGGTGTTTGTTATTCATTCATTGAATGTAACTGATTCATTGGTGTTTGTTATTCATTCATTGAATGTGACTGATTCATTGGTGTTTGTTATTCATTCAATGAATGTAACTGATTCATTGATTGTGACAGGGAGCAATTAGAGATGTGCAACAATTGTAGAATGCCATGCAGAAATCAGTTAATTAATATAATGAAAACAACAGACAACAAGGCATTAACATGCAAAATGTCACTACCTGCCATTTGTTACAGATGTTACAGACACCAAACACCAACTGCTGAACACCAACTGCCAAACACCAACCACCGAACATCATCCACAAAAAAGTTGGAGACGATAACAATATGTCACCACTTCTGGTGGTGACATAATCATAACAGACAACTAAGACGAAATAGCAATGGTGATGGTATATAAATTACAATATTCTATCATTCTATGTGACATCTATGTCAGAAGCATCATGTTAGAAGCATTCAAACTACATGCCATATTTAGCATATATCAAACACAAGATCACAACAAAAGATTCTACCTGATAAATGTATAGCTGAAAAATATGATAAACTATGTGTATAATGAATTACAAACGCATGAACGGGTGTAGGTGCTTTAGGGAAACCCATGTCATTAGTTGTTGTTCTATTCATACTTGTGTTTAAACATTTTTTGGGGTTCCCCTTTGGTATTTGTGTTTAATATTGGAATTAATATTGGAGTTTGAGTGCAATAATTAAGCAACGCCATGTATAGTTGGTGAATAAAGCACAACTTAATTCAGTGTAATAATGTAAGAGAAGCAGTTCTGTTATTTCTTTATAATTTGTTAACAAACTAGCCTGCTAAGAAGTGATCGAAGAAGGAGTAGCTGATAATAAAAAATGAAAATTCAAAAATGGGTGAAAATCAAAAAGATTTGGCGAATCATGTTTTCTGTGAAATTTTGTGCAAAAAATCAAATTCTGCAAAACATATTAAACCAAAATTCTGTGTTTTTTCTGTGGGGGACACGGAATTACAGAACACTAGAATGAGTGATTGAATAGCATGTGTGTGTGTACCTTCATCTTCCTCTGTAACATGTATAGCTGTAGCACTGGCCCTCACAGCAGCCATCTCAGACTCTCTATATTGCTTCTACAAAAACAAACAGCACGTGTAATATTTAGTTCCAATTATATGTAACCAGGAACCTTATATATTTTAGATCCTTGCTACACCCCTGAAGGTAGATGCTAATTTCTCACATGACTAACAGATCCAGCCATCTTTACCATACAAATAATAATAATGATCTTGCATCTTTCATTTCAAGGCCTTGCCTCGCATATACAAAGGCTTAAGCACCTAGCGTCAAAGACACACAGGTCCTGCCTCTCAAAATGCCAGTCCTACCTCCCACACACAAGGCCTTACCTCCCACATACTAGGCTTTACCTCCCACACACAAGGCCTCACCTCCCACGCATAAGGTCTTACCTCCCACACACAAGGCCTCACCTCCCACAAACTAAGCCTTACCTCCCACACACTATGCCTTACCCCCCACACACTATGCCTACCTCCCACACATAAGACCTTACCTTTCACATACTAGGCCTTACCTCCATTCTCTCCAACTGTAGCACCAGTGAGTTCTTCTCTGTGCTGAGGGCCTCTAGCATAGTTTGCTTCTGAATGAGACTCTCTGTTAATGCATGCAGTCTTCCCTCTAGCTCAGTCTGGGATGTACTACTCATGCTCTTAGTGGTTAACTGGAAAGTATATATCACAAAGTAAAGGCATGTAAATGTATCCATGTAGTCTTCCCTCTAGTTCAGTCTGGGATGTACTACTCATACTTTTAGTGGTTAACTGGAAGTGCATAATTATCACACAGAGAAAGCATGGAAATGAATGCATGCATCTTTCTCATTCAGTAAATATACAAACACTATCGCTAGAATATCAACTACACATTAATCAAAACTTTTTTTCATCAATTATTGAAAAAACAAAAGTATAAAACAGGGTAGTAGCTATATGTTGTTATGTGATTTGAAAGGTCTTGTTTTTTGTGAATATGAACCTATTTCATTTATGTAACTGAATGAAACAGTACTGCATTTATATTCATCTTTTTAAGGTCAGGGTGCACTTTGATGAAATTTCATGACCATGTGCTATTTTCAGATAAACATAACTCATTCCAAACATCATCTACAATTTCATTCTTGCACAAAAGATGCATTAGTGTACCTAGATTATTAATTGAGGGTTGATAATTCTTCAGAATGTTTAAATAACTAGAATATTCAGTGGTTTACTTTTCAAAATTGTAAAAAAATTCAAAAGTGCACTCTGGCCTTAACACACAACTTTAACAGACTGAGTTAAAAGTTCATACAATCTAATAACAACTGAATTTTACCTTTTCACACAAATCTATTTGACATTAAATTGTAAATTTTGAATTATTCAAAAGAATTCATGTGTAGAATCTACCTGAGTTCTAAGTTTTTCAATATCTTTTTCTCTGTCGTTTAGTCTGGCTTGCAGTGAAGACTTCTGGTTTATAAAGTTCTCATGTGCATATTTTAGCTCCTAAATAAAATAAATAAAAAGAAGATAGGGTAACATGCATATATTGTATTATAGACGATGTAAAGAGTATATCCTATAAGATTTCCAAAGGACAACCCTAATATCTCAGGGGTTTCATTAGCAGCAAGCGACAGGCAATTTTCACCAGTTGTTTTTACAAAATCGCCAGTTGATTTTTGGGGACTTTTCAACTTTTCCACGTTTAATTTATTATTTCATATTTTGCCTATTGTTTTCATTTATTAAGCCTGTTGGGAGAAATTCTAGTGGAAACCCTGTATCTATACACAATTTGTTTATCCTGCACAAAGCTCATAAGAATGTCTTTTAAAAACATATGCAGAAATTATTACAGAATTTGATGGAATGTGCACCTGTTTATGCCTTGAAACCTCCTGTTCTGCATCCTCCCGACGTCTGGTCTCAGACTCAAACTGGTCCCGTAATTCACTTATTTGGTCTTTTGAAGCTTCAGCATCCGTCTGTAGCTGTATTTCTAAATCCTAGATAAAAAGACGAAGACTTAATTCTGTTTTCTGCGAGTTCTTAATCGGGGAAATGCTAACTGCTTATCGCAGGGGGTAAAAATAAAGAATATATTCTGGATTTTGAAGTCCTGTGATCGGAGGATGTAGTCTTAATGTACCTAAAATTTCAAAACCACTTGTGGACAGATACTGACTCGTTATCATGATCAGATATTGACCCTTTACTATATATTTATATTCATACAGGAGAGCAATAGGAGTTATATAAAGTGGCACTTTTACCTGTAGTTCAGTACGCAGGTTTTCTATGGTCATCCTACTCTGTTGTATTTCTTCACGTAACATATCTCTCTCTTGCCTCATTTGATCCAGCTCCATACTTGACACACCACTCTCAGCCCCTGACATTGCTGTTCCATCTTTCAAACTCGCTATCAATTTATCTTTCGACTGAAATACATAAATAACAATGGTATAAGACATAAGGCTCTACAAGCAATTCAATAGATTACAGTATTTTTGGTTGGAATTTTAGAAAATTCAAAAAATACAATTTGATACTTTCAGTTCAGATGAATATGACAAACACTTGAACAAGGCACGGGAAGGGGACAATATTGTAGCCTATCTGAAATTCATCAAAAATGGCATAGTGATTCCATATACTCATTCTTGATAAATAATAAGAAAATTCATTCGCAGCAAATTTCTTAAACATATCTATGAATGTTACCTGTAAAATCCTGGCTGCCTTTTCCTTATATTCAACAAGTTCCTGTCTGGCAGACTCTGACTGAGATTTTAATGACTTTGATTGGTTGGTTATCTCTTGGTAACGAGCTGGAAATAAAGCAAGTGAAATAATCATTAATTCTGGGATTTTATCCCAAAACAAGAGAGAGTTCCTGCATATGCATATTATGACAACACAACTAATGTATATTGAGGCAAATAATTAAATCATGATATAGGCTTAATTATGCCTCCAGGATGGCTCAGATGAAAGCTTCAATTAAACAAGGCATTAACATGCAATATGTAACCACCTGCCATTTGTTACAAACATTGACCACCAACCACAAAAGGTAGGAGACTATAACAATATGTCACCACTTGTGGTGGTACAATAACCATATCCAGTCGAGACAAGGGAATTGGAATTGAGACTGTAACTGCAAGAAATTTCTTAAACTCTTTTAGACTTATAAAAGGGATTCCAGTGCCACTGCAGTTGTTCAACCATGAGGTAATCTATGTGAACATATTATGGTCTTGCTTACTTTTCTCTTCTGTGAGTTTTCTCTGAGCCGATGTTAGAGATTCTGCCAGGTTTTGTTTCTCCATCTCAAGCTGGCTCTGTCTCTGCATGGATTCCTCCTACAGTACAATGTAACAGTACAATGTTACAATACAATGTAAGGTGTATAGGGTGTCATAGCCTGTATAATGTTGTAATTTTTGTAATGAAAACTGAAATAAATTATTTTGAAATTGAAAATTGAATTGAAATTGAGTACAAAGTAGCCATATAACAATACTATTTAAAAATACAAGGTAGCAGAGCAATGCATCAAGCCCATGCATTAGCACTATATTTCGAACACATTGTGCCAGAGAGAATGGAGGAGAGGTACAGGCTTGATGACTAGAATAATGCTCAGTTGGAAAGCAATTTGTATCCATGAAAGATTGGTCTGAATTGACAACATTTTATATGTATGTTTACAAGTATAGATTCAGATTACTTGAAGAATCAAATATGTTATGTTCTAAAATTATTTCTTAACTTGATTTTGTTCTTTGCTCACCAAACTATTAGTTTTCCAAAAATCTCAATAGTAAAAACAAACCTTTATAGCTTTGGTAGCTTCTTGCTCTAGTCTCAACTTGGCTTCCAGATCAATATATTTTTCTTTGAGGCCATCCAATGCCTGGCTGTGTAGACCAGAGGAATCTGAGTGGTCTTGTAATATTCTAAAGTAAACAAAATATGATACTAAAACTTGTGAAAACATGATTAGATGCATACAATATGCATGATAGATTGAATATCAAGTGGTATTATGAATTATATATAAATTTCATCTTGGAGATTTTTTGAAATATTTTTTATGTTAATGTTTACAAATTGTAATTTTTTAAATGCTAATGTTTACAATTTGTAATTTTTCATATGTTAATATATACAATTAGACCCCCTTAATTCCTGGCCATCTATTGAAATGCAATTTTCCTTTTAGTATCTTACCTCTCTCGTTCATTTTCAAGGCCTTTCATGAGATTTGTTTTTCCTTTTAGCTCTTTATCAGCCTCCTCGTAGCGCACCCTAAGTACAGCCAGTTGTGAGTCCTTGGCCCCTAGACTCTCTGTAAGGTCACTCTCCCGGGACTGCAGTTCACGGATGATCTGATCACTCCTTGATAATTGTTGGTTCAGCATTTCTGTTTTTCTTTTATGCTTTTCCACTTCTTTATATGTTTGGGGGAATAAGAATAAATCATTAGCTTTATGTCAAATTTGTATCCATACCATTTGATGATATGATTGATAAGTAAATTTCATGTTATTTCAGAAACCTTTTTAGCAAAAAGCGCAAGAGTGGTGAGGTTTCCAGGTTAGTACCAAATAATTGCGACAATGGGTTTCTGGGTATGACTTCCAAACTAGCGCTGTCAATGAATAATAAGTGATATTACACTGCTCCAAATAGTACACAAAATAAAATATCAAAATAACATGCATTCTTAATAAATGTGCTAAGAGATTATTTTGATAGAAAAAAGTAAAGAAAATAAGCTCAGTCAGTCTAAGACACATAATCAAAAACATATTCACAACTATTTACCTTTGTTTGTCATCTTGACTCTATCAATGACAGATGACATCTCCTGGTTCAATGATGCAACTTCACTCTTCAAGAGCTTATTCTCCAGTTCAAGGGAGGACAATTGCTGCTGGGCCTGCAGACCCTCCTCTTGGGAACTGTGGTAGTCACTTGAAGAGTCATTCAAGTCTGGCGACAAGTCGTATACTTCATTTGTATGCATTGAATCAACATTTGGTTCTTCCTCTGAAATATGTGTCAAATGAGGATTTATCAAATTGATGTATGCATTTAATTTCCAGATTATTGTAACCTCATGAAAATTAGATGCATGAGAAATGTATTTCTTACAACTTGCAACTCCTAGCAATACTTGAAAGTTCCAACTTCTGTTACTTCTAAAGCTGATAAATTTTTATGAATCAAATATTGGATTATTGGTGTTATTAGATATGAGTCACGCGTCTTGCTTCACCTGTATATTTTTGTTGTTTAACTTTTCCAAAACTCAAATGTGTGGAGAAGATAAATTCATAGACAAGATTTTTGTATTAATCTGTCACATGTGAAGTTCTATGACAACTCAAATCTCCAGCTGTAAAAAGCCAAACTAAAACCACAACTAACACCAAACAAATGAAGGCAAAACATAACAGAAAATTTTGTCTGTATATAATTTACACAAAATTGAAAAAACAATGAAATATGTAAAGTGGAACACCTCTAGCAGTGGATCACCTCTGAGAGTTGAAGGTGTTCCATAAAGACAGATTTTAATGTATTTGTACCTGGTGAGTCTGTGTTAGCATTTGCAGTCATTCCTGCAGATTTGCCACTCTTAGTTGATGTGGTTGACGATGTACTGGACTGCCTAGAATGTTTGCCAGTGATCATACTGGTAGGTTTAATTGAATTAACTCTGTCCTTCTTCTTCCCATTTCCACCATCAGTAGTGTCTTTACTATTCAAGAACTCGAATAGCTCATCATCATTATCCTTTTTCTTTACAGAAGTAGATGAAGTTGATTTTGTAGTCGAAACATTGTTCCATGTTGTAGAAGTCTGTGGCTTATTTGATGAAGCTGTTTTGTTCAACTGGGATAAATATTTCTGTTCTTTGTTCAGATTGCTTAGATTTGATGGCACACTAGCTGAGCTGGTTATAGAGCTAGATGATTGGAAACTCTCTGACGAAAATCTTGATTCAGAGAGAGTATTTTGTCCATTTACTTCTGAATGGTTCAAAGCAGTTGCAGCTGACTGGTCAACTTTATTTAATAGTTCTTCTGCCTTTCCAGCTATACCTGTCAGCCAAGACATCCTGTTGTCGGCAAAATTTGCCAACCTGAAAAAAGCAAAAGTTGATTTTTGACATATCTGATACAATGGAATTAACTCAAAGTGGCTACATTAAAGGTTGTATACCTCAATTCAATTACAATAAAATTCCTGTATTTGGGCTTATTTCTTGAAATTTCATATATTATTATTATCATACATTTGTGTTGATATGCGGATTCAATTGTAATGTGATGGAACGCTTATTTTACCCAAGTTCATTTTGTATTATAAATGTGAAATAATTTGGGAAATCCACAAACAGTTTCGGGGTTTCTCCAAATCTATCGTTGTTGGGGAAATGACGTCACATTACATTGGTTCTTCACAATACGAGCTTGAGTATTGCGTCATCTATGTCTATGTCAATAATCTGCAAAAGGCTAATAAGCCCATATAAAGCAGATATATAATTTAACAGTGATAGAATTTGAATAGAATATAATTTTAAACTTTAACATTTAAAAATAGATCTATGGTTTACAATTCATTTTAAAATTGAAAGGAACCTTCCTGGTTGGCCCCTGTACCCCCAAGGAAGTCCCTTTATGTTGAAATACCCTGGGGCGACTGTCAGGCTATCACGTTGACATCTCCCCGTCATCAATATGCGTAGGATGGTATGGAGACATTATTGTGACATTTGTTTTGGGGAATTCCTAACAACGGCCAAATACTTTCACTTTCATTGTTAGAGCACTTGCACGCTTGAGATGCGAAAGCGTATTTATTGCATTTGATCAGATGGACTATTGGAGTTCTGACTTACATTAGGGTTCCCTTCTAAATCAGATATATCAATAAAGAGACTACGGGTGCACCTACTTTATCACATGCACTCACCATAACCGATCAACCAGTCTGTGAAATTATGATGAAAAACATTTTGAAAAATACATTTTTCTGAAAAAATATTAAAAATAGCCACTATTTTACCTCCAAAATTGGCAAAGAGGACGTGTGCAAATACACCTTGATTGTCATTTAAAACACGAAAAACTTATACTGCATTCCATATATTAGCAATTTACAGTGTAAAAGTCGATTGATACTTACTAATACACGACTTTCTTTCAGAAAAAAATCAAAACAAATTTTTTAATGGCGACGTGGAATCGTTGTATGCGCATGCGTCGAACAGACACTTTCAGCACTTCCGGTTAAAAAAGCAGAAGCCAAAATCATCGCTGTTCTCCTAATATTGACAGTTTATCGTAGAATTCTACGTATTTGTGTCTATTCTCCCACATAAATTGAAGCATGAAGGTTGTTGCGTTAATAAGGTAAGATTTTTCTTAATATCTGTGAAATCGAGAGCATGTAATCCTGAGCAACAGATCATTCTGTGAAACAACTTGCAACAGATGAAAAATAAAACCCTTCAAAGGAGCCACCGTCCATCCCAAAATCTTCTCGCAAATACCTAAAGTGGATTTCTTGTGCTTGCTCTTAGCATGGAAGCCCATGTTTTTCTACATGTAATTGTGTATTGAAATCTTGGGGCAATCATCTCAGTCATTTCATTGTAGGGCAATCATTTTAGTCATCTCATTCTATAGTTCAACAAGTTAAACCCAATACCACGGCTTTCATTTATTAATCTGAATGTTCTTGTTGCCGTGATTGGGTTTAACTTCCGTGGTATGCTTTTATTTGTTGCAAATTCTCACTATCAGTTATTAATTAAACGCGCATGAAATTACTTATTAATTGACAACAATATAAAAACACATAACATCAAGCGATTCAACACAATATTATTGTATTAAATGGTCATTTATACAAGTAAAATGAGGTTAAACTTACCAATCTCTAAAATGACATTCCGCATGTCCGTCATTGTGTCTGTTCGTCCCGGGTTAAAATTTAAACTATTGAAACGAAATTGTTGTCAAATAGATTGATAATTATCACGCGATTACTCGGGATATAAAGATCAATTTTGAGGATAACAGGTATCTTTGATTGATTTATGTAGCGCTTGTATACACGCAAATTAGTTATTAATTGCAAACCTACTGTTCGTTGATGCAGTGTCGCAATGACGGTCAATTCCTGAAACGATTTGCAATTTCGATGTTACCGGAACTGACCGACATTTTCGTAAAATTCCAAACCTGTCTCCAATATTTTCGTAATTATGCATCAATAGGGTCTAAGGGGGATACGGGATGGTGTGTATGTATTCATAAGGTATGTATGCATGCTTGAATCACATTCTTTATGTAATATTACCATGTTTTCAGTGTTAATTAGTTCCGCTGGTCGAAACCTGCGGAACGCGCAACAAGGGCAAAATGATCATGGAGGTTAGACCTAGCCGGGGCCATAAGACATGTCAGATAAGAAACGAGGCCCAGGCTAGGTCTAATGTTGTTGGACTACTCATTCTAGGGCAATCATTTTAGTCATCTCATTCTAGGGCAATCATTTTAGTCATCTCATTCTAGGACAACCATCTTTGTTATCTCTCATTCTAGGCCAATCATCTCAGTCATCTTATTCTACTAATTCTAGGGCAATCATTTTAGTCATCTCATTCTAGGGCAATCATTTTAGTCATCTCATTCGAAGGCAGTCATCTCAGTCATTTCATTGTAGGGCAATCATCTCAGTCCTCTCATTCTAGGGCAATCATTTTAGTCATCTCATTCTAGGGCAATCATTTTAGTCATCTCATTTTAGGGCAATCATTTTAGTCATCTCATGTGAGGGCAATTATTTTAGTCATCTCATTCTTGGGCAATTATCTCAGTCATCTTATTCTAGGGCAATCATCCTAGTTATCTCATTGTAGGGCAATCATCTCGTTTATTTCATTTGAGGGCAATCATCTCAATTTTATGGTTTTACTGAATGAGATAAATCTGATATTTTTGCATAAAACTTTATGTCTCTAATCACAGACTTTTGTAATGTCAACCTCGAGGGCATAAAATATGTGACATTTCTTAGAATATTTTGTTCTACACATTCCTTGTTGTTGTTTGGAATCACATATTTGTTAGGATTAATGTCCATGTGGATGAGATGGGATACTTTATATTTTTGAAAACTTTAAAAAAAAACAATCAAAATGTAAAATACCAATTCTTTTCCTGGTGAATGGTTATATAATGTTTTAAGGAAAGCTGAGGCTGCTCTAACCACACTCCTGGTGACATGAATTTTATGCCTGGGCTGTAGCTATTCCTTATTACTCAGTTATATTTGTGACCTGTCTGCATATTTTATAGCATTTAGGTATATAAAACGCCTCATGTTGCAATTTTGTGCCAGTTTTATTGGAATGCAAAACACAATGAGGTCACCGTGATCCGAGTAATAACTCGGGGAGAAGTAGAATTTGCTGAACACTTTGATATAGAACAGATCAATAGCTAGGCAAGACATTGCAATATTGCATGCAGTCTTATTAGTTTTTATTATAGAACATAAATATTGTCCCAATAAGGTACTACTATGCTTAGCCTTGTCATTGCTTTCTTTGAAATTATATGTACCTTAGACAGTATAATCTGAGGGAGGGGGGGGGGGTACTGCTGTATTATTGTATAGGTTGGAAGGGGGTTGGGTCTAATTTTGGTTCAACCTTGGCTTAGATTTATAGGGATGTTATTTATGTATATTGGTCATACTGAAGATGATAACATTTTTTGTGGATTGATTCTACTCTGTTATCTTGTAGATACGTAAAGATAAAACCCTTCTTGCGCCTGGGCAATAACTCATATATTTGTGAACTAATTTACTTATTTACATGTTAAATTTCTCATGATATTGCAAGTTTTATTAGCCTGACTCCATTGGGCTTGATAAAATGGAAATTCACCATGTTTTCATTGACTTGAACATCTTTCTATATGGGATTGTTTGTGGGTTGGTTAATTTTTTACAGATTTTATTATATCACTGTACATAAAGGCCTGTAGCTGGGATTCGCCAAAGGGACGGGGTTAGTTTTTAAAAAATTCCATGGGATCATATTTTTTACAACTTTGGCCCAAAATGGCCAAAATCACTTGAAAAGAGCTCAGAATGGTGAAAAACTGCATGATTTTGAAAGAATTTTTGGCCAAGGTGGGGGGGGAGGCTGGTTTGCTCGAACACCCTGAACCCCCCTGGCTACAGGCCTGACATTTATGTTATTTAAGATTCTAAATGTTTATTTCTACTGTTTTGATAGGCTTTTGACCTTAAATATTATTGATTTGAAAAGTTTTGCAGGTTGCTTTTTTCATAGTCTTTTTGAACATCATTGTTTGTTTTGTGAATTGCAAACATTTCTATTATGTCAACCTCTTCAAAATTATTAAAACTTGGACAAAACAATTATAAAATGAAGAGAATCGTTTAATCTGTAAGGTGGGATACTGAGTTACTCCAAATATTTGACTCAAAATAACTTTAAGTGAAATCAGTGTTAAAAGTATTTTGAGTGTTTAGTTGGGTATTTAGACAAATCCTACATTTCTGTAAGGTCATATAATCGATTGGATTGATTTCATCTGCAGTGAAATTATTCAAATATATTCTATAAACAGAGCTCACATTTCTAGTAAAAGCCTCTCATTTGGGTTGTGTTATTAGTCATCATAGAAATATGACATTTGGAGATAAGCCATCAAAACAGAATAATTAGACTGAATACATTTGTGTATATCATGTCATCCAATTTATTCATAAAATAGAGAATGCTTTATAGAGCACTTATGTGTATAGAATTTTTATGTTAGAGAATATAGTATTTGCACTTAAAAATTAGTGAATTGATCGTGATTTTTTTTAATAAACTGAATATGTTTGTTTGATGAATACTTTTGATTGTTTGGTGAATAATTCTGATTGTTTTATGAGATGGTTGTTTGTGATGGCTCATGGATCAGTTATTTCCCCTTTGAGGGGTCTGGTAGCTTCGATTCTTCTTGTCATCCACTCCTGCATGTTTTTGATTTATAACCTTCTAGCCTTTTGATCAGCCTTGTTATTGAAATGGCCCATAGCCAGGAGGGTTTCTGGGGATTTGAGCGCTGGCTGAAATTTTTTCCCAATTGTACAGTTTTTCACCACTTTGAGAGTGTGGGCCAAAATGTCAAATACAAACTCTCCCTGGATTTTTTTTAAAACTGACCCCCTTGGAAAAACCTGGCTACAGGCCTGTAACCCCTGATAATGAATTACACTATCTTCAGAGTCTAACTTTTACAGCTTGGTAATGTTAATTCCAACACCTTTACCAAATCTAAAGTAGAATTCTAGGTGCAGCTGGCCATATCGATTCAGGTTGAATTATGGCCATGATAGAATCTATACATTTGGCGAGAGGAAATTGATACATGTGTTAGGGTGGTATAGAGTAGATCTGTATATTCCAGGTTCACTTCACAGGATCCAAATTCATAAGCCAAAATCCTGAAAATGAAAATGTTTATGAATAAATTGGAATTATTAAGTATTTCAAAATTGCAAAATAGTTGTGGAAAAATTCAGGAATTCTTCAGAGCCAAAACGATGATTTGTCATTATAGAAAAAGTTTTTGAAAAGATGCTGAATCCAGCTAAGGCCGTAAGAAGTTCATTTAATATATGTTTTGTGTCTCTTATATGCAGAAGGAGCAATATAAAAAACAAGGACAAAATATCATAAAATACCCATTACTTTGGTTTAAAGAGAAAACAAGATTTCTGGGAAAACTTCCAACATTTTGACACCACAAAGTTTCTCCAGAAAATATAATAAAAATGTCTGATTGCCTGGACAGAAATACATGGCTTCAATATTCCTACTGAACCAATGGCTTAGCGTCATATATGAATAAAACGCCATGGCATGCTCTCAAGATAGAGAAAAACAATTTTTTATATTGAATAGTATAGTTTCCATATAGCTTTTGAAATCTCGCTAAATCTCGTTTTTCGTGAGATTTTAAGAGACTTGCATATTAGACCTCTAATGACTTACATTACCTTCTTTTAAATGGTATATTTGAATTCAGTGGAATGTTTTCTCCTAAAATAGCTTTGATTTACACAGTTATGTAATTTGAATAATTTTCTATGACAATTTAAAAAAAGTTGGGCCAAATGTCCATAGATGCAATGCTAAAATTCTTTAAAATCGTGGATTATTTGTATGTCAATCAACATTAGCATGTTTAATCACAACATGTTCATAAACAGGGTCATCATGTGGTATATCATTCAAGTTTTATACAGATTCAACAAACACACTTTGATAAATCATGAAATTAAGCCACTTTTCCAAGATTTTAGCATGTAAGTG